CCAATGGAAGAAAATTCCAATACAGAACAAATCCGAAATTCTAAATACAGAAGAATCATAATTAAAAAAAAACAAACCGAAGACCCATGAACATAAAGATTACAAGAAGAAAAAAATAAAAACATCCTCAGAAGAACAGGATTAGAATCAACAGAACAGAAAGCATAGAATATATGGACATAAAAGATCAAGTATCAACAAAAGCCTTAGATTCAAGAATTCATAAAAGAGCAGGAAAAATATATACAACTAAAACTAATATGCTGAATACAATCATCCATTATAAAGGCTGTTCCAATAACTTGGACCGATTTTAAATGTGATTTAAGAATCTAATGATTTTTTTTTACTTTTTCTTTCAGATTTAACAATTTCAACCATGGAAAAATAAACATTCAGACAACGTGTTAAAGCCTATTACAAAATGAACGTTCAAATAGAAATGCATTTCGCGCACTTGGCGATTATTTTGGGTCAACATAATCGATCAACCGAGAGTGCAATTGCAAACAATGTAACGTTGTTGTGGAGAGGTTCAATTCCTGCTCGCGATGACGAATAGATGTGTTTAGATTTTCAGCCACATCCTCGTGCATTGCAGCAATATTTTCAGCTGAACGGTGTAAACGAGCATGCAATGGTGTTTTTGCATCTGCCACCGACCCAGTTTGTTTGAATTTACGAACAACTTTTCCAATTGCACTCTTGAAACTTTAACACGATGTTTGATTGTTAATTTTTCCATGGTTGAAATTGCCAAAGACTTAAGTTGTTTAATCTGAAAGAAAAAAATCATTAGACGCTTAAACTCAATTCACATTTAAACTCGATACAAGTTATTGGAACACCCTTTACAATTGAACGGAAGAAGCATAAAACCAAATTACGAGGAAATCAAGCGGCTCCTCCCAGTCCACAACCCAAATGTAGTCTGTTTACAGGAGACCTTCCTCAAAGTAATCGACGGCATCTCCTTTAAAGAATATGACCGCTACAGTAAAACGAATATAGCAATAGGCAAAATGGCGGAACCTCAATATTAGTTAAAAAGAAATCAATATCCCAGGAGACATTACAATTAAATATTATCCATCAGTAAACATTTGTTCAATCTACACCCCCCAACACACAGCTTGCATAAAACTAAAATAGAAAGACTAATTGACCAACTTCCCACTTCCTTTGTATTAATGATTTTTATTTCTTTTGTTTTACGGCGTATCAACCTCAATCGGTTATTTTATGTTGACAAGATTTTTATTGTTTGTAATAGTGTTTAAAAATGTATTGCATGTAATAATGTATTGCTGGTAATAATGCTGGTTTTCATCAAAAAATGTATTGAAGTGTTTTAAACCCAGTTTGGGGGTTAACTATTTGCCCATAGCCGGCGCCCCTACAAGTGCCACCACGCCCGGTGAGAGTGGACCCGGGAACACCAGGAATCAAGAGGCGGTTCCACGCTCCTCAAAGCCTCCCAACCACAGGCCCCGCTGCTGGATGCAGTTCATCGTCTCACCCAGGACGAGGATGTAGTTTATCGTCATACCCAGGACTCTCTTTCTATTAATGGGAGACTTCAACGCATACAGTAAATGTTGGGCTGTGACAAGTGTAATCTCTCCTAGAATTATCTGTTTTATGCCTCGTTAATAACAAAACACGGACATGCCTACACCCAGGTACTGGCTCAGCATCTGCCATTGACCTAACCACATTATCCATCATCAATTTTTGTGGATTTTCAGTGGAGAGTCCATGACGATCAATGAGGTAGTAACTATTCACCTCTCTTTATAGACATAAACAAACCTATGCCAGAGGATGCAATAGGTAAATGGTCGCCATTTTATATATGCAATTTTGCGCATGCGCTTTCTTTGTTTGTTTCTTTTTTTCGACTGCACAATATAGTAAGGCCAGTTGGGCATCGTCTGTGAGAAAAAAGATAATCATGATGCAATTCACTCTGCCAGAAATTTTGAAACGGCATACGATACTGCTTGGCATTTGTGCAAGAAGCTCCAATAAGATCATTTTAGAGAGTTTGGGTGTCAATCTGAGGACAGTGCAGAGGATTCGGAAAGAGTTAGATGAATCTAAGGTGTTTGGAGTGATCATTAGTGATAGCGACGTTATGCCTCCATTCATCTTCCCACAGGGTATCAGACGAAACACGAAGGCCTACATCAAGAGAGTGACTCCTGGAAGTCACCATGTCTTGGCAACAGGACTCTGCACCATACCTCACAAGCAGGAGAACCCAGTCATGGCTGTCATATAATTTCTGTGACCACATCACCTCTTACATCTGCCCACCTAACTCCCCAGATTGAAATCCTCTTGATTATTATGTGTGGGGTGCAGTTGAGCGGGAAACCAACAAAATTGGGTGTGGTTAAAGGAGCATGTCTACTATACCAAACCAAGACTTTGGAAGAACTTGGACGATGAATCCAGGGAGTTATGTCTTCCATACTACAATAAATAAATAAATAAAATCTCATTATAAACGCTTCCCTGTCATAGCCATTACTTGTAAAAATATAATTAATAAATTCATTATAAGTATTTTAAAATATGGAGTTATTTTTCAATCACTCTCTATACTTCTAATTGTCAGAATTCTACTAAAAGTTTTGCACAGCAATTCCTTCAATGACTGTTCCACAGAAGACCTTATTTGTCATGAAATGACTTACAGGATTGATGTGTCTTAAAACAAAAATCCAATCCAATCCTGTCATTTAACCCACAGCTCGGACTTTGCGGGTTGGTTAATATAACGAATTCGACTGGAATTCGAAGTCTGCCGTCTGATTTCAAATTCCGAGTCAAACTATTACATCCACCGAACATCCAATACAGAATCTGGTATTCCCAAGCGGTCACCCATTTAGGTAGTGACCAGGCTCGATGTTGCTTTACTTCAGTGATTGGACAAGAAGCAGTGTCTCAACGTGATATAACCGTCATCCCAAATGTCACTGGTGATGCAGAATCATACAAACTTTTAATGCAATTAGATATTTAAAAAACAAAAAAACGTACGGAGTAGTAGAATCTGTTAGGGTCTCGGCTATGGCAAATAGTGAACCCCAAACAAAAACAAAACACTATGAAAGTATAAAGATACATGTTTATAGTAAAATTACCAACAATACCTTTTTTTTTATCGGAAAATGACCCGCAATATATTTTATAACAGGATTACTAACAAAAGGACAATCAACTGTGTTGAAAATATATTTAGTTGAAGCCATACAATTGCGCTTAAAATATTTCATTTCTGGCTTTAAATGGCCCATAGAGGTTTTGATATGCCGCTAAACAAGATCATCCAACCAACAACGTCCAATCGACGTTAACAAACACATTTTGAGGAATATTTCACGATATTCACATATAGATAAGGCAAAATAAAGAAACAGGTTAATATTTCCTGAATTTTTTCACCAAGTCTCCCTCCGACTCAGAAAATAGATACAACGCAATCTTTCTTTTCCTCTTAGTCTTATGCTGTATTAAGCTACGCTTAGTAAATATGTTAAATTTAGTTTTGTAATATACTAGACACGTGTAAAAGCTGGTAGCGACCTTTTTTTGTGAATTAGAGACCGAATACACAATTGGAGACTAAAAAAAAAAAAAAAAAACGTTGGAATCTTTTGCATACACCTAATAAACAATAAACACCTAATAAATTATAACAAAACTAACAAACAATAACAAAACTAATAAATAAGTATCAAGACAAACCAGTTTTTTTTTTTCTTTACTATTTTTGTTATGATTTATTAAAAACCCATAAGTTGTCTGGAATTCTTATTACTAATTTAAAACCGTAAAAACAAAAGAATAAAAACAAAGAAATATTTGTAAAAAAAAAATATTAATGGTGTAATGGATTGTCCCACACTCCCTATCACCTATGTGGATTGACTATATCAGTAGCTATATATATATATAGTGAGCACAGAATATAACTGGGGCTTGCTTCAGGAATTACTAGCCTGCCACCTGATTTTCTGTCTTTCAGTGGTGTATTTTCTTTTACAATAAACCTCTCTTCTTTCATCTTTGCGCCTGTTGATGTTCGTTCACTTCCGTTTGTAACGCCTTTAAATAGACAACAATTGACAATGCTTCGTCTGAGAAATTCAGAAAACCCAAGATTCAAGAACTTAAGATTGAAATGCTCGAGGAAGCATCCACACGGGAGATTAGCGATTCTTGAGAAGAGCCTTTCTGATTGGATCACCCGTTTTTTTTATCAAAAGAAGGCGTAAGGAATGGTGGGTATTCAACTCTGTGGACGTAGCAATGCGAGTTTTGGCAGCAAATATCTGAGCTGGTAGCACGAATGTAAATAAACAATAAGGCGAAGTATTAAATCGGAGAAGAATATGTCGCTGTGTAACTAATTTGAATGATGCCTACTTATTGCGTTTTTGTAGCCTATTCGATAAAGCGTATTCACGGTTAAGACAGGATCTCAATAATAAGAGATGTATTATTATGATTATTATCATTTTGATTTGATATCCTCTCCGACTCTTACATGTTTTGACCTTGTGATGAAGGTTATATCTCAGCTTCGACTCACGGCTTAGACATATGATAATTTCTTCAGCACATGAACTGTTCCAAGCAGTGCTGCCACCGGCGCACCCCCAATGATGCCAGGTATCCTCAAGGTGTCCTGCATAGCAAGAATGATTCTTGGGAATAGTCCAGAGTTCGCCAATCCGAAAAGGGACAACCTGATCTGCTGCTTGGTGTATTTATCCGATTTACCCTCTCAGGTCTTGGTACGACTCTATTTTCCCTGCTTCGCCATCACGATGTTCTTATCCCAACGTCTTTTATTATTATTATTTCTTTCAGACTCCACAACAGTTGAAGAATTTAAAAACAACCCGAGATTTTCGCTCACATGCAGCACCATTAGAAGAGAAACTAGTCAAATATCAATATTTTTTTTATTTTTAATTTGTCAGGTATGAATCGGGAGACTGGAGAGTTGCTCGATCATCGCTGTGGAAAAAGCACAAGCGCCATCCAAAACATCGGACGTTACGGCTTGGTGTACTTTAGTAGCAACAATGAAACGGTGGGATCCGGTTTCAAGTTCCGTTATCGGTCAAAAACAGGTGAGAATTTTTCAATGACATGAATTTTTTTTTTTTTTTTTTTTTTTTTTGTGTTTGTTATTCTTTAGAGCATTTCTACGCACACATACTCACACGTGGCCGATTGGTTAGAACGTTGGCATTCTGACCATGAGACCCGGGTTCTAGTCGATTTGTCAGGAAGGAGACTGCCTGATGTTATCAACGTACGGCACCTTTGCAGAGTGCTTGAAAACCATACCAGGGTTTGACCCAAGCCTTGTGAGTGAAATTGGGTAGGGACCGTCGATAGCTGCGCTAGCACGAAATCGTGGCCAAGTGCTTGAGCGTGTTGGCCTTGTTCAAATTGTTGATCAGGCTCTTTCCCAGAAAGCGTAACTAAGTTGCAGTATAAAGCAGTATGTATTTTGAATAAACACAAATGTGCCTGAGAAAGCGTCTTCAACAGGGATTGGCTGTCCGCGCTAGTAGATGGGTATCCTCGAATACGAGTGGCCAGCTATACTCACATACTATATATTATATCAAATCGAATACAATTGAAAATTCACAATAAAAGAGGATACAATTATCTACAACGTAATAGCATTGTTCGATACAACCGTGGAGAGCTCTGAGACAATCTGGAACCAATAATTAGAAAAAAAATTCCGTGCCAAATCTTTCGCTATTAAATTAACTTTTCAGTAGAAGCAGCTCTTCGAAAGACCGCCTAAATCTCAAAAAATAATTGCTTACATACAGATTACTGAATGAGGCTGCAATCAGAAGACCATTACTAAGGAATCCCACTTCATGGACGTGTCCATCGCGAACGAAACCGCCAGAACCTATGGCTGCAAGGTACGATGTTTGAGAAGCCAAACAAGACATTATTACCAATAGTAAGTCAGGAGAAGGCACTTCTGCATGGCATAATGGCTAACAAGATTGTCTCCTTAGATAAATTACGATTGAATAGTGAGATCGATCTTCACTGGGTTCTTCACTCTTTCAGCCCTATGTCAAATCTCGCTTAGAAAATCATTTACGACACTTCGACGTCGTGTAACGGTCAGCAAACTTGAGTTTCTAGATCAATTACGACTGAATAGTGTGTTCGATTCTCACTGGGTGCCCTCCATACTCTCGGCCTTGTGTCACATCTAAGCTACGCTTAGAAAATCAGCATAGCAAATTGGTGTCCTTGATCACCACCAAGAGATAGAGATCCGACAGAGTCCCGGAGAGATATACAATGACCGGACGGCAGATTCGGTCTACCAGTCGAGTCCTATCCGGTATATCCTATGTTAACCGAGAACCCAGAAAAGCAAGAGTCGACAATCGGTTTCATTACGCTTCTGTTAGTACTGAGGGGAATTGATACGGTATTAGTACCTTAATCTTTACAAATACCCCTATTCAAAATATTATAGATATATTATTTACTTCTTATTTTTTCCTGTTATATGTTGTCTTGAATTTTTTTTCTGTTTTTTTAGGTAATATATCCCAGATTGTTGGGATGAACAAAAACGAATGAAAATGAAATACAAGTGTATTTTAACACCTAATAAAACAACCATTATTCATGTACTGCCTGGGAACAGCAAGAATTAGTTTGGATTTAAACAATGAATTCCATCTGCGTGTCAGCTTGTCACCATATTGTATTCAGAAGTGCCGGGTAAGGGTAGTAAGTTAGCATCCCCTAACATTAGGTTAAATAAAAATTATAATTAAAATTTTTGAAAAATTCGAATTAAAGGGAAGATATGTGGGTTATCCCACTTGGCTTTGCCAAAAACGCCGCTGGGAAGTGGGGCCCTTTAAGTGTATCAAAACGTAATGATATTCTCTCGCACCCTCTCTTTTTTCCCTTTTCAATTTTTGCTTTCAGATGTAGGCGCACGTGGTTAAAGCACTGGGACAAGTTTCTTTTAATGGTTTCTTCTCCCTTGACTTTTGTATTTTCTCATATAGACACACACGTGAGGGCACTTCTAACCTACGCTTAGGAAGTCTTTTGGGCACCTCGAGGCGGTGTAATGGTTAGCAAGCTTGTCTCGCTAGAACAATTACTACTGAGTAGTGAGTTCGATCCTCACTGGGTGCCCCCTATATTCTGCCTTGTACCACATCTAAGCTACGCTTCGAAAGTCCCTATAGACACACACATGTCTATCAAACACTCTTGCCATATTTTCTTATTATAACTTATTTTAATGTTTTTCCCTTTTGTTACAATTGTCTACACCTGTAATTCCTTTTGCTAATGCATGCATTGTCGTTTGTTTTATATTTATTTTTTTTACCTGGACTCACATTTAGTCCACTAATATTGTTTGCGGTATCAATTTTCCAGGAGTCCGTAAATATTTATTATCCAATTTTTTGATTCCCGCAGCATAAGGGTGACTGATATTTACCTAAATATACTAGTAATTACACAACAAAAATGAATTTATATGTTTCAAATATGAAAAAAAAAAAAATTAACTGGACTACTGTTTAGATTGACCAAAGGTTTTGAATGTAAACAAAGATTTGAATAAAACAATTGATTTAACTTAGTAAGTTTAATTGACTAAAAAAGTTATGCAATCTCATCACAATATTTAGATATAAGTAAAATTCAAGCCTCGTTGAACAATCGGGTCATCCAGTTCAATCAGCCGGCAGAGTTCACTTCTTGCGGTTTCGGACTATCATCTCTTAAAAAGGAGTTGATCACAGATCATGGACGAGAGTAAAGAGAAAACGACGAGAAAACTAATGGTGATCTGAAACGAGAATTTTGTTAAATGTCCCGAAGTGAAGTTTTTGAAGTGGACTAAGTCCATATCTCACTAGACCGTAGATACGGTCAAATCACGCTGAAACACCGGTTCTCGTACGATCACCGAAGTTAAGCAGCGTAGAGCCAGGTCAGTACTTAGATGGGGGACTACTTGGGAACACCTGGTACTGTAAGCCCCCAAAGTCCAACCCTTACCTCACAGTCGGTGGGGGGGTGTAAATGGTAGTGTCAGAGCTATGCCGCCCGGAACTTCGTTCCTGGTAGGGCCACCCAAGGCGGACAGGTCTGACACACACGCCGGCTAACAAGGGCTCTGTTGAAAATCCAAGGAGCGTCTGCATCGGTAACCGGTGGCTTCTGGTCGTTCCTGTCTCTGCGTCTGTGGGAACCCCGCGGCAAGCAAGAACGTTATCCGAGTAGGCCTGGGTACCCTACTTCTGTAATTTATCCCAAGAATCTTCTTCTCATAACAGGAAGAAGCCGGCTCAATCCGCCCAGTGTGAATGCCGCATCAGTACAGTACAGTAGTAGTATATCTCACTAGGTGGTAACATTTTACTGTTAATGTCAAATGGTTGGATACTTTCCGAACAGACCTCATAGTCTCTACTGTTGCATCAATTGTGATGACGAATTTTTCGACACGTTATCTTCCAGGTATGACGAGCTGCAAAAGCCCGGAATCTTTAACAGCTCACCCGTATCAATGGCAAGTGTTCACATCTCCCTATTACCCGAAACCTTACGTCAGGTAAGATATGTTTTCTAAGGTTAGATATCCAGGTAAGATACTCTTTCTGAAAGTGATAACAGCTACTGGACCTAAGAAAACTATTTTTCTGAAAAATTGTTTTAAGAGCATTATTTTAAAAAATCAACCGAAAATAGCAGTTTACTCAATCAATGAATCCTGAATGTTTCCTTATAACGAATTTATATATATATATATATATATATATATATATATATATATATATATATATATATATATATATGAAGAAATATAGTCTTAAGGTGTGCTATATTTATGGGATAAAGTTCTCAATATCAGAGATACAGCGTGTGTAAATATAAAAGTGAACATAGAAGTCAACACTTAGGGGGCGACAGTCTGTTTCATGTTAGATGCAATCGTCAGGCCACCTGACGATTGTATCTAGTATGAAACAGACTGCTATATATATATATATATATATATATATATATATATATATATATATATATATATATATATATTGAGCATGTCAACACTTAGATGCGACAGTCTGTTTCATGCTGAGATGCAATCGTGAAACAGCCTGACGATTGCATATAGCATGTTGACTGTTCTATGTTCACTTTTGTTATATATATATAGATAGATAGATAGATAGATAGATTCAGCTGTATGGATATTAGTTTGTGACGCTGGTTTCACGCTTTTACGATCATCAGACAAACTGGTTTCTTTTTTTAAAATTGGATCTATCTCTGCTTGTTTGAGTATGTTTGGTGACGAGAGGGGGAATCTACTTCTGTGCTTGTTCAGGATGACACTCTCATACACATAGACACACATACATACAGGAGTACGCATTTTAGTTCCCATAAACGCACTAATATAAACAATCCGAGGCCAGGCGCAGATACACATCTATGCGTTCGGGCAAACATACAAACGCAATTTTACTTCTATTTTGGCGCCCACAAACAGGACCCAACTTAACCAAAGTGGGGGTGAAAAAGCCAGACCAATAGGAGTGTATGTACGCGCCTATATGTGTGTATGTGTGTGAGGAAGTGTAAGTTTGTCTGACGACGCAGGCGGTAGATCTGAAAAGCGTCAAGAACACTCCTACCTGCTCCTTGTTGAAAGGAACACAGTTGCACATAAAAAGCCAGGGTCCCGACACCAAACATAGTCAAACTAGCATAAATAAAAATAAACCAGTTTGTCTGATGATCGCAAAAGCGTAAAACCCAGTGTCACAAACTCAGATCCACACAACTGAATATGTTAGCTCTATCACTGATAGTCCTGCGCATGTTAAATTATATATATATATATATATATATATATATATATATATATATATATATATATATATATATATATTAGGTTTATCACTTTTTAACATTTGTAAAATGATCAATTTCAATTAACTTTTGCTTACAAATAATGAAGGCTGGTTTGGTTTATTTTGTTTTACGGCATATTACCCTCAATGGGTTCTTTAATGCCGACAACATTTTTAGGATAAATTCATATGAATAGAATATGTATTCTTTGGTTTAGATTGGTTGGGTTTATTTTGTTTTACGGCATATCAACCTCAATGGGTTATTTAATTCCGGCAACATTTTTTATTGCTGGTAATATTTTGTTTTATCAAAAATCTGTTTCTGATAATATTTTTCCTTCAAAATTGTATTGCTGGTAATAATTTTTTTCAAAAAGTATTGCTGGTAATAGTTAACTATTTTCCTATAGCTGGGACCCTAACAGGTGCTACCACCCCGGGTCAGGGTGGACCTGCGAACACCAGCGATTAAGAGGTGGTTACACGCTCCTCAAAACCTCCTGATCAGAGGCCTTGCTGCTGGATGTAGTTTATCCAGGACGGGGATGTAGTTTAACGTCTTACCCAGGACGAAAATAATGAAGGCGTTTTATAATATTAATTCTGTGTTTTTTTTTAATGCCTAACACAAAATTTCTAAAATCGTATATAAGTATAGTAGAAAAACCTTTTACAACATTTTTTTGTTTATTTGTAAGATTGTTCTGCTATAGTTATAAACTGTTAAATGCGTTAAAATACTTAAGTATGATCCAATTACATTATTACCAAATTGAAATATATAGCTTTTCAAATATTTAGATTTTTACCCTTATATGGTAAAATCGAATTTTTGGTTTTGAGAGTGACGTTTTTCAAGAACTAAAACAGATTAATACCTTTTTTATTAATTTTGAAGTTCTTCGATTTATGACACAGGAACATAAGGTTTCAAAAAAGTCAAAAACCTATATATAATTCACTCCGCCAGAAATTTGGAAACGGCATGCTGTGCTGCTTGGGTTTTGTGCTGGAAGCTCCAATACGAACATTTCAGAGTGTTTGGATTTCAATCTGAAGATAGAGTTGGATGAGTCTAATGATGATTACGAATGTATTTGCAGTGATCACTACTGGTGGCGACCTTATGCCTCCATTCATCTTCCGACAAGGCCTCAGACTCGATACGGGGGCCTACATCAAGTGTCTTGGGGAGATAGTGCTGCCCTGTGTAAAGAAGGTGGCTGTTGGAAGACCCTATATCTGGCAACATGACTCTGCACCATGCAGCACAAGCAGGAGAACCCAGTCATGGCTGTCAGACAATTTCTATGATTATTATCGTGTGGGGGGCGCAGTTGGGCGAGAGACTTCTTGTAACGCCAAAGATGAACTGAAGGCAAAGTTTATGGCAGCATTCACCAACTTCCAGAAGAGTTGCAGAAGATTTCAAAGTCGTCCAGAGGCCGTGGTTAAAGCCAATGGCGATTTTATTGAGTAAATTTACTCGTTAGATGTTTTTTCTGTAGTTTTGGTAAATATATCTGTTAAAATGAGATGTCAGTGTTAATCTCATTTTTGCGGCATTTAGACGACAATTTATGTATCGCACCCCGTATAAAGTATACTAGGATAGAATTATTGTGTTCAGTGAAGTATTTGTTATTCATCGGCACTGTTCCATAAAGTGGTGGTTCTCTGGAAAAACCGGCTGGGGTTCAAGGGGTTATTTCAAGGTACCGAAGATGGTGTTTAGTATATCCACTCATACAAATTTCGATTTGTCAGCATATGAGGCTACCGAAGCTGTGAGCTTCGAATTGAAAACACCAGAATTAAACAGGTACATATACATAACTATTTGGGTAATACTGAAAGAAGAGGACCCGAAGGCGTATCGGAAGAGGGCAAAAGACACCTTCGTTTTATAAGATCACTACTAATTCAAACTCTCCAAGGCTAGGAGCGCCCGTTATCTTTCTTATATATCCCCATAAACTACACTTTTTATTTCCTTCTCTTACGCTCATGCAGCAACCTTATTCAGTAACCCTCTACCTTGAGTGGCTCTTGGGCTTGTATTGAGTGATAAATTAGTAAAAGAAAATAGAACAAAAGAAACTAAACATTTAATTAGCCATATGAAAATTTCGTTAGAAACCAAGAAAGGAAATTCAATTATTTGAGTAATGTAGGAAAAAGACGACGAAAAGTGTGAAACAGAGATCTGAAGTTGTGCCGGAAGTGAAAAAAGATCATTACAATCATAACCTTTTCAAGTCTAAGGTTAACCCTTATCTCCTATATATCCTCAGAAACTGCACTCATAAAAATGAATTTAGGGCTTTTTTTGTCCTTCTCTTTTCAGTAACCTTGTATGCCACTGGGTCATTACGGCAGCCGATTCAGACAACATTGTGCATTTACAGTTTGAAGATTTCGATGTTGAACTTACTGATGATTGTACGAAGGATTATCTCCAGATTCACGACGGTAAGACTCGATTCATGGATTATCTCTGTATTTATGAAAATGTATGAGTAGATTAAAGCAAGCATTAATCCCGGAGCACGGCTATTATATGCAGTGGCGGATCTACTATAAAAACTAACGAAGCTTCAGGACCCCTAATCCTGGACGAATAATCTTAAGAGATTATTCAAAATCTGCATGGATCTGTTATTTCTTCGCTAAACAAGAAAATCAACGAAACATGCTGATATTGCGAGGTATCATAAGGATATCTTTGTTTAGTTTTAATGTTATTTCAACTCCGGAAGCATGTCCTTTCACAGCGTCACCAGCTGATTAATGTTTCTTTTCTTTTTTTTTTTTTTGGTGGGGGAAGGGGGTCTTGCAACTGCATGAAAAAATTATAGTGATCAAAATTATAATTTGTTTGTTCGGAAAATAATGTTCGATTTTAGAATAAACCTTTTAAATGTGTTCTAATATATTATAATAGATACAAAATGGTATATTACTCATTCCTAATAATTAAAAAGTCTTTTTTTAATTTGATTTCAATCTCTTTCAGAATTTAACTCATTAAGTTGTACAAAAAATAATGAGCGATTTCAGATTAAACCTTTTTATTGTGTCCTAATATATTATTGTAATAGTTGCATAAAAATATATTAGTCATTATTAATGATTGAAATATCATCTTTGTTAATTTTATATCAATCTCTTTCAGAATGCTCTTTTCAAATACGTGACGCACGCGGCATACACACTGTAAAATAGTATCTGTTGTTGGGAAAATAATGTTCGATGTTAGATTAAACCTTTTAATTAAGTCTTAATATATTATTATAATATATGATATATTACTCATTCCTAATGATTAAAGTGTGCTCTTTGTTAATTTTATATCAATCTCCTTCAGAATATTATTCTCAAATACGTGAGGTATCCTCTGTTGCAATGGAAGACATTATTAGGTTGTTCGGGAAATAATGTCCGATTCTAGAATAAACCTTTTAATTGTGATATATATATATATATATATATATATATATATATATATATATATATATATAATGTTCTAAAATAATATCATAATATATATTACTTATTCCTAATGATTAAAGTGTGCTCTTTGTTAATTTTACATCAATCTCTTTCAGAATTTAAAACATTACAAACTGCTCACTTTAAGCATCGCATAAAAAAGAGATACGTCTACTTTTTTTTACATGAGTTCAACTTTGGTGATAATGCTTGTCGAACTGTTGCCAACCTTGACAAAACATGGTTTGAAAAATTCACTTGTGACCGGACAGTACATGGCTGGTTTCTGAAATCCTGTCTTGAAGATCAATGACGTCCATCTGCAACTGACAGTCAAAATCTGTAAATACTTGTTGAGCAAAAACCTATGTCAAATTGTCAGAGAAATGTCTTGGATATTGGGTGCCGGCATTTCAACAATATCCGACCATTTCAAGGAAACCGGCAAGAAGAAACTCGATAAATGGGTTCCACATGAAGTCAGTGAAAGTCAAAGAGTTCAACGTTTTGAAGCGTGTTCGATGCTGCATCTGCAAAATTCCAATTTCTTGATCGAATAGTGATTTGTGATGCGCGATCGATACTTTGTGACAATCGTAAACGATCGGCTCAATGGTTTCATTATGATGAAGCATTCAAACACTTTCCAAAACCCAAATTGTACCGACTGAAGATTATGGTGACTGTCTGGAGGTCTGCCATTAGTGTCACCCATTACAGCCTTCTGTCAGCAACTGGGTGAAATGCACATTCAGTTAAGCAGAATGCTACTGGCTTGGTACTGGTACTGGTTAATCGAGGACGTTCAATTCTGCTTCATGACATTGCTCGTGCTCATGTTGCCAGAATGACACTGCAGAATCTCACCGACTTGGGATACGAGACTTTGTCACATCTATTATATACTGCGCTGGCCTCACACCCACTGACGACCAATTTTATTATTATATACTGCGCTGGACTGACGACCAATTTTATTATTATATACTGCGCTGGCCTCACACCCACTGACGACCCTGCGCTGGCCTCCCACCACTGACGACCCACCCACTGACGACCAATTTTATTATTATATACTTTTGACGACCAATTTTATTATTATATACTGCGCTGGCCTCACCCACTGACGACCAATTTTTATTATTATATACTGCGCTGGCCTCACACCCACTGACGACCAATTTTTATTATTATATACTGCGCTGGCCTCACACCCACTGACGACCAATTTTTATTATTATATACTGCGCTGGCCTCACACCCACTGACGACCAATTTTATTATTATATACTGCGCCTCACACCCACTGACGACCAATTTTTCCTTTCACACCCACTGACGACCAATTTTTCTTGACAATTTTTAAACCGAAAGACATTCCTTTGCCCAGAAGATATAGAAACTACATTCAAAGTTGTCTTAGAGTCCAAACCATCATAATTTTATCGTAAAGGCATAAATAACCTTGTAACTCGATGGCAGAAATGTATCCATGTTCAGGGCTCCTGTTTTGATTGATTTCAACAGTTTAAATACATTCATTCGGAAATAAAATTCGATTCTAACATCGGACGTTATTTTCCGAACGACCTAATATTATTATTACCTATGATATGAGTTCAACTCTTTTATTACCATTTTTTAAAGAATTTGGCATTTGTCATCCTGAGCTAGGTACTGTGAACAGACAGGCACCAAATGGGCTGCTGTGTCAGTGTGTTCGCAACTAGAATTCGTATTATCCTTACTACTCCTACTTCTTTTCGAACAGGAAACAATCACAGAAATCTCCGATTTTGCATGAATTCTAATCCACGTAGTTTTTATTTTATAAACTTTAGAATAACGGTGGGATTTCCATTCCCTGTTGCCGACGCCTTCTCACGCATATATCTGTTTGATGAACATCCACAGAGCCCACCTGTATTTTATACTGCAACTATGCTGAGCGTACCTTAGTTACAGTTTCTGGGAGAGAGCGCATTAATTGGCGTGATCGACAGTCTGAAGGTCGGCACGCTCAAAGCCTCAGTCACGATGACTTGTGACTTCGTGCTAGCACAAACTTCAACAGCTCCCAAATAGTTCCGTTTATGCAATTTCACTCACAAGGCTTGGATCAACCAACTGTGGTAAAGTTTTCAGGCACTTTCCAAAATTGAGATCACCCCACCAGGCCGTTAACATCGAGACGTCGCCTTCCTGAGAAATCAAACGTGGGTTTCATAGTCGGAAGGCGAACGTTTTAACCACTCGGCCACTTCGAATACTATACACCGCGTGCCTTCAGAATCTAGAGACATTAATTAATATTACAAATAAATGCGGTCATATATGCAAAAATCTGATTTATTTTCTTCTTTTTTACACTCTTGTCATAAGAATTAAAATATACTGTTGTTTTTTTTTTAGTGCGAAAATTAATTTGTTAGATGACGGATTATTTCAGGTGGAAGCAAGGACAGCCCGCTGTTAGGAACCTACTGTGGGCAGGATTTACCCGAGGTGAAGAGCACTGGACGGAAAATGTTCATATCTTTGTATTCGGATGACCAAGGACAGAATATTGGATTCAAGGCGAAATATATTGCTTCACAAACCGGTAGGTACCAAAACGTATGCATAGGGATGCCATGTTTTTCTGTTTATTTGTTTCACCCTGGGTCATGCATCAAGATTTCTTCACCAATCGGAAAACAAAAAAGGAAGAAAGAAAATTCTTTTTTCTCGTACACAGGCTCATTCAGTAACGTTTAATATTAGAATTCCTCCAATACAAGGCTCGAGAGACACTCAAAATAGAGACTTAGTGATAAATGGTAATGATGAATGAGGTGTGTGATATGACAAGGTGGTAAGGAAATTATGAGGATAACTGGAACGACTGATTTGTTTTATTTTTTACGGCTTACCAACCCCTAATTAGAACCGAAACATATTTTGAATTTTAAGATTGGGAGAAAATATTGGAATAATAATTGTTTGAGAATAAAAGTTATTTTTTCAGATACAAGTTCTACTATTTAACCCAGAACTGGTGGGGGCGATGGCTTCTTATCTTTACCAAGGGGTATTTGCTCTAAACTGTACAATAAGTGCCTTGCATCTTCTTGCTTTCCTGCATATTAGAAATCGTTTCTGTAATTCCATTCATTAAGAACTCAGGTGAATCGTTGGATCTTTCTCACTATCGGTCAATTAGTCTTCTACCTCTTTTTGGTAAAGTACTAACGGACCTAATCAACTTTGAATTGGTTAAGCACCTTCCCTCGCAGATTCTTCATTCAGATAAGGAATGTGGATTTAGCTTCTCTAGTTCAACTGCTGATGTATTAACGATTATTACAGAAAGATTCTATCAAGCTTTAAATAAGAATGGTGAAGCTTGAGCTATTGCTTTGGACACATCTCGAAGGCATTTGACAGGGTTTGGTATACTGGTCTTCTTGAAAGGTTATGGTATTTCAGGGCGAATTTTCAAAGTTGTTCAGTCTCTATCTATATTTCTGAGATGAGGGATTATGTACACTATTTACACTATTCGGACTATTGTCCTCATCTTTGTCACCGTATTTATTACAACGTTTCGGCCGTTGTATGCTTCAGCCTTTTTCAGGTAGTTTGAATGTCGAACTGAATCCAAAGAGTATGAGTTCAACAGATAACTGATAACGGACATCCATTAAACATGGCCCGTGGAACTAGAACAGTCTACCCCAGTGAGCAAAATAAAAGGTTCAGTTCGACATTCTAACCACCTGAAAAAGGTTGAAGCGTACAACGACCGAAACGTTGTAATAAATATGGCGACAAAGATGAAGACAATAGTCCGAATAATGTAAATAGTGCGGTTCAGTCTGTCTTATGAAATAGCAAAATGAAAGATGTTTCGAACGGCAACTCCTCTGGATCTTTTTACATTAATGCAGGTGCCCCTCATGGTTCTATCCTCGAACCTACGTTGTTCCTAATTTTCATCAACGGCCCTCCTGATGGCATTAGTTCTCAACTTGGTATCTATGCTGATGACACAGCTATTATTGCATTAATAGTAAATCTGATCGGTTCGACAAGGTCAGATTAGTAGCTGGCTTACTTTCTATTGTTAACTGGGGCAAGGAATGATTTGTCAATTTTAATGGCTCCAAAATGAAACTGCTCTTTATTAATCGTCTGAAAGAACCTTTTCTGCCTTCCATCAGCATGGCTAATGCTAACCTTGAAAGGAGGGTGAAATATTGCGCCTTCTCAGGTAAACATTTACTGCTGACATGAAATAGAAAGGGTATATCTAATCAAGTGATTGGTCTATTGCTAGGAAGGTTCGATCTCTGTGTCGTGCCGGACATATTTTCTTGCTCGAATCTGTCATACATATTATTCGTCTATCATTCTTCCATGCTTAAGTCTATTGTCGGCACATATGGTCCGGAGTTTTTGTGATATATTTAGAGATCCTTGATGAAAAGCCTAATGATTCTCCAAAGATGAATCTACAATGTTATCGGTACTAACTTGGCTTCAGACACTTTCATACCGCTATGGCGTGGCTTCCCTGTGCTTTTTTCTATAAATACTTTCATGATAATTGGTCTGATGAACTCTTATCTATGTTATTTACACTCTATGAATTTAAGCGCATTATTAGATTGCCTGCAGAATCTCATCATTTCTCATTTGAAATAGTTCAATGGAATTTCGAACCGAAACTTTTATTTCGTCTACCGAGGTAGATTGTTTTAGTTCCACCTGACATGCCTTTTCTGGATTCCTGATAGATTGTTCTACGTGTAACTAGAACAATCTACTTTGGTAGACGAAATAAAGGGTTAGAAATTCCAATCACCTGAAGAAGGCCGGAGCGTACAGCAGCCGCAACATTGTGAATATGGCAACAAGGATGAGGACAACAATCCGAACAATGTAAATAGTGTAAATAATTAAATACTTCATCTCGGAAATATAGACAAAATTATTCTTGTAAATAAACAATCTAATAAATAAATAGTGTTTAATATTTTTGTGTAAATTCTCAAGAACAAAAAATGTATAAATTGACTTTCATATTCTGTCTATATTTCTGAGATGAGGTATTATGTACAGTATTTACATTAGTCGGACTATTGTCCTCATCTTTGTCGCCATATTTGTCTCAACGTTTCGGCCGTTGTACGCTCCGGCTTTTTTCAGGTGGTTGGAATTTCGGCACGTGGAAATAGAACAGTCTACCCCAGTGATCGAAATAAAGGGTTCAGTTCGAAATTTTAACCACCTGAAGAAGGCCGGGGCGTACAACGGCCGAAACGTTGTGACAAATATAATGACAAAGATGAGGACAATAGTCCGACTAATGTAAATACTGTGACTTTCATATGCTTAGGTTTTATTAAGATTCAAATCATTGCTATTTAAAATAATGAACATTGCCGAGGAGTGAAGGTAGTTAAAATAATAGCGGTGTCAACGGAAAAGAAACGTTCTTTTGACACTCCGTTTTTGCGGTAACGAAGGTCTATCTTTTCAAAAATTAATTTTGACATTCCAAATACATGATCTCCCCACCCCGAAAACATAACCTCCAAGATGTAAGTGCTAATGAAATAAATATGTTTCACAGGAAGGTTACTTTTCAACTTGGGGGTTTGGTGAGAGCGTATTCATTTGCCTTCCTATGAAGACAAATCTGACAAAAGTTTTTTTTTTTTAAATTGGGGTCGATGTGAGAATGTGTAGTAGAAAAGCTGTCTAGTTACACCGCTTTCGCTACAGGCGACACGGCCTACATCTACCTTTTAACTAGTTCGTACAATAATGTGGTTGCTACCTTGGAGATCGGGATGACGATAAACTACATCCGGCAGCATGATCTCTGATCATGGGATTGCTGGTTTTGTGGCCTGTGGAACCACCTCTTAATTGCTGCTGTTCTCAGGTCCACCATGACCCGGTGTGGTAGCATCTGTTAGGGCCCAGCTATAGGCAAATACTGAACCTCCAAACAAAAACAAAATACTATGAAAGTATAAAAATACATTTTTATAGTAAAGTTACCAGTAATACATTTTGATATAAAAAAAATTATCAACAATACTTATTTATAGCAAAATTACCGACAAGACTTTTTTAAATCAAAATGAGCAGCAATTCATTTTGTAATAGAATGACCAATAATCCATTTCATCTGTAGTTTATGGCATGCAATTGCGTTCAAAATATATTTAGTCGAAGCCATAAAACGAATCCACCACTTCTCCCCCAGCTATGGATTAATTAGTAAGACTTGTATGACTAAATTATTATTCTTACCCCACCAAAAAAATTCTTACAATCTAAAAATATTTTCTGGTTTTAAATAATCTGAAAAGGGTTGATAAGCCGTAGAAAATGAATGAATGAATAATCTCTTCCGGCTTTCCAGCCAACTTAAATGCTGGGTATGATGATGAACTACACCCGGCAGTAAAAACTGTGATTGAAAGGTTAGAGCTTTTGAGGAGCGTAGAACGACCTATTAATTGTTGTCGTTCGCAGATCCACCCTGACTCGGGGTGGCAGCAGCTTGTTTGGACCCCAACTATGGGAAAATAACGAAACCCCAAATAAAACAATATTAAAGTAGAAACATTCATTGTTATAGTCAAAATAAAAGCAACACATTTTTATATAAATATATCTACAATACATTTTACTGCAAAATGACCAACAACACATTTTATCTGTAGTTGAAGGCATATAATTGCGTTCAAAATATATTGAAGCCATAAGATTGTGTTCAAAATATTTAGTTTCCGGCATTAAATAACACATGAAGATTGATATGCCGCTAAACAAAATCAACCAATCAAAATTGGAGATGGATATCCGGGAAACAGGTTCCGGATAAAAATTTCCACGAGCCTCTAGGCAAAGACAAAGGCACCGGAAGTGACTTGCATGGTAAAAGCAACAGGTTATATATTCCACAGTTTGACAAAGATTCGGCGAAGGTCGGAGACTAGAAAGTCTGAAATTAGTCAAAATAGTAATAATGCATTAGTTTTCAGACGTTTCCATTTCATCGTATAATTTATACGAGGTAATTTTTTTTTTTTTCGATTTTTATCTCCAGGTTCTCAGTGCAGTGGAATTACTTACCTAGTGGCTGTCCGGAACCGGAAGAAATACCTACTTTCTCCGAATTATCCGCATTTCTACGGCAGGTTTGGCTTGTGACTTAATCTCTTTATGACATTTTTGTTTTACATTAAGCCTCTTCAATATCATTTTGTGTCAAAACATAGCTGATCAATATAGATGGATGTTAGGCGACCAACTCGTCTTAATCTATGGCTAGGTGTCCAGAGCAATAGATCACTTGTGAATTCTTGTTTTACTCGCCAGCAGTGTCCTGTAAGGCGCATTCTGCTTTCACATAAGATTGTAGACATAAAAAGGATTGGTCAATAGAGCAGTGATTTAGTTGGATGTTGTCTCAAAGTGATGTTAAGTATAGCTCTCAGTATCCGAGTGTAGGTTCCATCAAGATTAGACAATAGTATTTTAGTTAATGTCCATGCAGTGGCACCATACACTAACACCACCTCTACAGTGGCTCGAAAGAATCTCCGCTTGAGGTTGTCTTGGAGATCAGATTACATCCGTTTTATTCAAGACTGCCCAGGCTTTAGCTATGCTAATTTTCACATCCTCTTCAATAGAATTTATATCAGCACCTAGGATTTTTCCCCCAGGTCAATTATTATCAAGATTATCAGTGATAATTCCAACTATTGTGACATTTTAACCCGGGTTCGTTTTATTCATGATCAAAATGTTAATATTCTAACTACTCAATCAACACTAAGGGATCTCATATCAGCATCCCGGTCCTGCATCAAGATCGGAAAGTCATTAGGGAGGCATTTTGTGTCATAACAAAACTGGTTAATATTGGTGGGCGAAAAACCCGTCTTACGCCATGACTAGGTGTCAAGAGCAGTAGATCACTTGCTAGTTCTTGTTTTGTTCGTCAGGAGTGTCCTGCAAACGCTTTCGGCATTCGCGTAGAAATATCAGGGATTGGTCAATAGAGCAGTGATTTAGTTGGATGTTGTCTCCAAGAGATGTTAAGTATAGATCTCAGCATCCGAGTGTAGGTTCCATCAAGATTAGACTCGATTAATGTCCAACCAGTGGCACCATACATTAAAACCACCTCTACAGGGGACTGAAAGAATCTCCGCTTGAGTTTGTCTTGGAGATCAGATTTCCAGATTACATCCATTAATGTCACTCTGACCTTCCGACATTGATGCAGGACTTCAATTTTACTATAAAAACGTATTGATGGTAATTTTCTTTAAAATGTATTATTATACTTTCCTAGAAGTTTGGTTTTTATTGGGGGAGGGGGGGACTATTTTCTCATAGATAGAACCCGTTAGGGTTCCATCACTCCGGGTCTGGGTGAACCTGGGAAAAACAGCAATTAAGATGTGATGCCACACTCCTCAAAACCGCCTCCATTCTCCCGAACCGATGCCTTGCTGTTGGATGTAGTTTATCGTCTTACCCAGGACGGAAGTATATTTTAATAATACAGACGTATTTAAAATAGAGCGCGCGGTAGAATTAGATCAAAAATAAGATAAGAACAATGCGGTTTCGTGAATGACACTGGAACAAGGAATGTAACATTTATACACACAATGATATCAGAAAAGCGATACAAATACGGAAGGAAGTGTACCTGTTTTGGGTTTTTTTTTTGTTTTTTTAATCAATTCACCCAATCAAGGCAATAATGCCACAAAGACGCAAGAAGGCTATGGGATTGAAAGAGAATGAAAAAAAAATCGGAAACCCAATCGTAGCCAGGAAGCAATAGATAAACCTCTACTCCTGTTCGGAATTATTGTGGATGAGTATGAACTGAGCGATAGGCGAGCCTATCTACTACTCTTGCAGAGGAAAAAATTAAATAATTAATAGATAAAATTTTAGAATTCAGGCGGAAACGTTACAAGTGGATTTATAGATTATGCAAAGGTTTTTGATAAAGAACGTCATAAAAATCAGTTGGAACTGCTAGCGATAACAATGATATATTTAGGAAGGATATTAAACTAAACCAGAACCTATACGCCTGCGTACGCATAGAAAATTCAGCAGATATGCAAAAATAGAAAGGGGTGTAAGACAAGGATGTGTCGTCTCACCGGACTATAGTTAAAATAGAAAGGGGTGTAAGACAAGGATGTGTCTTCTCACCGGACTATAGTTAAAATAGAAAGGGGTGTAAGACAAGGATGTATCTTCTCACCGGACTATAGTTAAAATAGAAGGGTGTATGACAAGGATGTGTCTTCTCACCGGACTATAGTTAAAATAGAAAGGGGTGTAAGACAAGGATGTGTCTTCTCACCGGACTATAGTTAAAATAGAAAGGGGTGTAAGACAAGGATGTGTCTTCTCACCGGACTATAGTTAAAATAGAAAGGTGTGTATGACAAGGATGTGTCTTCTCCCAGGACTTATTCAAACTTTACAGTGAAGAGATTCTGAGAGAATTACAAATCTTGTGAGAATTAATTAATGGTGGCTACAATATGTGATCTGCAGATGAAAAAGGTTGATAGCAGATAGAGAAAGGAGGCGGTAAGAATTCCTACGAATTATAGCGAAGGAAAGCAAGAAAAAAGGCCAAACATCCAGTTACAAGAATGCAGAATGTATGGTTGTCAGTAAAAGAAACAGCCCAACATGCAAATTACAAATTGGAGATAACAAAATCAAGCAATTCCAAATATTTAAATATCTGGGAAGTTTTAAACAGAGGACGAAAAGTATGACACCGTAATCTGAAAGTTATTGGTATAGCGAAAGATGCCTTTCAAAAGTTAAACAAAGTATTAAGAAACAGAAACAATTCGTTAAAAAAAAAAGAAAAGAGCACTTAACTGTTATGTAATATCGGTCCTCCTTTATGACGGTGAATAATGTAAATCTCCTCGCGAATGAAGAAAAGAATTCAAGGAAAAAAATGTGTTTCTACAGAAGGATGATGAGAATATCATGGACTAAAGATGTGAGCAACGATGAAATTTTAGAGAAAAAGGAAAGAGATAGCTGAAATTTCTGGGGTACATAATGAGGAAAGAGGGCTTAGAAAATTTGGCACTCACAGGTCATATTGAAGACAAGGGGGACATAGGAAAACAGTGCATACAGCAATTTTGTGTAAATGATGAAAGAATAGGGTTTAGCCAAAAAATAAAATTAGTAAATTTAGCTACAAAGGACAGAAAATTGTGGAGAGCCATTATCACCAACTTTCTGAAAAGACATGACACAGAGAAGACCAATGACAAAATAAAAATGTTTAAAAACTGGTATCTTACCAGTTGTTGCTCATCAGAACTCGACCGAGGAATAAAACAGTAAATCTATGTACCGGCTCAAAACATAAAAGAACAACTAATAAACCGTTATTAGTAATATTAAACACGAAATATCTACAAGTTGATTACCTGAAGTCCGACCAGGCATTCCTTTACACAGGGAAAGCTGCCTGGACTTAATTGTCTCAAGGATTTTAAGGTAGAATTCAGAATGGGATCTGCAGAAAATGGACCTTATTGTTTCACTGTATGATTCGGCATATTGATAGCTTTTCAGCAGGTGCTCTACAGTTGCAGACCCGGATGATACATCAAACTTATAAAAATTATTTCGAAGCTGACCTTTTCTAATGAACGCCGGAGAATACTGAGAAATTCTTCTTTCAAGAAGTTGAGTTTTCCTGCCTATATAGATAGTGTCACACTGGCATTTAAAAAAAAAAAGAACTAGTTTTGAAGACAAGCAGGTTGACTTTACGTATTTAAACATCGGTCTAGATGAGAACATTCGCTGTTAAATAACATTGTAAAACACTGGTTGAGATTTGCTTAATCCAAATCGCCCCCAGTTTCATCAATCCAGGGCAGATCAAGCGCCTTCGTGGACTTGCGTTTTCCACTGACATGAAGTGGAGTAATTATATTGAATAAATTGCTAGGTCTACTGCTAGGAAAGTTGCTTCTCTGTGTCGTGCTAGACAATTTTTCTCGTTAGAATCCTTCTCGCACCTTTATAGATCTACCATTCTTCCCTGTATTGACTACTTCTACCATATTTGGTCTTGTTTTCCGACTATAGATCTTGAGATTCTTGACAAAATTCAAAGATTGGGCTGTCATGTAAATAATCTTGACTCTCGATTTCAGTCACTTTTCACCGACATGATGTGGCGTCCCTCTGTCTTTTCTACAAATATTTTTATGGCAATTGTTCTGGTCAGCTGTTCTCCTTCGTGACTTGATAAGTGTTACTAGATTGGCAACTAGGTCTCATCGTTTTCCTGGTAAATTAGCTAAATGCGACCGCCACTTCTATTCTAACAGTTTATCTTCTCGCACTTCTCGCTTGTGAAAATCCCTTCCGATTTATTGCTTTCCTGTCACCTAAATTTTTCTAAAATTTAAACCCAACATCAATAGTCATTTTGCCTTCCTGTATCCGGTTCCTTTATTGTCATTTTTCAGGTTTAAAACGTTTATGCTAATGATATTGTACAATCTTGCATACATGCGAAGATTATACAATATTCAAATGATAGCCGTCCGTTATGACAAACTATTTCCTTCATAAATTTTAGTTGTTTTTATTACATTTTATCATTTTTCAAATATCGCGTCTTTTTTCTTTAAGTATCGCATCTTCACGCGACATTTTCTTCCTTTCTTAACTTCTAATTTGCGCCTCTCTCTCTCTCTCTCTCTCTCTCTCTCTCTCTCTCTCTCTCTCTCTCTCTCTCTCTCTGTGTCTTCTTTTGTTCTCTCGTCTTTTCTTGTACATTAAGTATCTCTCTTCTGTCTCTCGCCATCTCTTTTATTGTCTCTTTATCTTTTTCGTTTGTCTCTTTAAGTCACCCTCTCACTCGCTTTCTCGCCTTATTTTAGTTCATTATTTCTTTTCTTTTTGTCTGAAATGATCTTTTCAATGAGAGTTCAAAAACGGAGATTAAACGGTCAGGGATTTTTAAAAATATCCCTGAATAAACGATTTAACTTATCAAATATTTTTTTTTAATCGTTTCCTCCGAAGCAAGGCTATAAAGCCACTAAGAAGCTATGGGTTACAGGAAGTGAAAGAGAATAAGAAGACTTTAGTGATGAGAAGTGAGGAAAGGACAATAAAGGAACAGGGTTCCGTTAGACAAAAGATGGCGATTGACATAGCATTTAAATTCTTGAAGATTATATTTGGCAGGGAAGCAAGAAATCGGATTTTTCACAGGTGAGAAGTGCGAGAAAAGAAACTATTAGAATAGAACTTACGGTTGCATCTTGTTAGTTAAACTTGAAAACGGTGAGCCCGTGTATTACGCTTAAATTCATGTAGTCGTAGAACTAAGGGGTAAACAGTTAATCAGACCTGTTGCCATGAAAATATTTGTAGAAAAGACAGAAGCCACGTCACGTCGCTGAGAATATAACTGAAGTCGAGATGCCAGAGCAGAATCGACATTAGAGAACCTTGTTTGAATTTTGTCAAGAATTTCTTGATGTACAGCAGGAGCAGCAGACCAGATATGACAACAATATTCAATGCACAGATATATGATAGATTTATAAATGCACAAGATGAATTCTGGCGCGAAAAATTACTGGCACGACACTGAGCCAATTTTCCTAGCAGTAAATCTGGCAATTGATTCGATATAGTCGCTCCACTTCAGTGGAAAACGTGAGCACAAGACTGCCACTTCTATATGGAACAGATTCACTAGAGGTTGTTTCCCCGATCGCTACAATCTTAACCTGTTCAAAAATAAGGGTGTAGAAATAATTTCAACTCGAGATTAATTTCCTGGCAGCGACCACAGAACAATTTTTGCTCCGCTGACTGACATCAACACCAACTCATTGCATTTTGTCTAGAGATTCACGGAAATTGATAACTTTGATTTTAAATCAAGTTGAAATTAGTTCCGAGTTGAAATTAGTTCCGACGTGAAAGTAGTTCCGAGTTGAAATATGTTCTGTCACTCCAAAAATGGAGTCAACCGTTATATTCCTCTCTTATTTATATAAGCTACATAGCGTAACCCTCTACCTTGAATGGCTCCGGGGCTTTGTACAAGGTGAACTTTATAAAAAAAAAAAAAAAAAAAAGTGACGTAGAATTTTGTTCTCCTGGAGTCTAGCATCAGGCAGGCAAAAAAAAAAATCTCTGTGGTGATTAAATGTAAGCAGTTTTGTTTTGGTTTAACTGAAAAGGATACTTAACACTTGTCTCATTTGTTCTTTCTTTCTTTTTTACAGTAATCTCTCTTGTTCCTGGTTGATCCAGTCTGGGAGTATCGGTCGTTCCATGTATTTGGACGTGATCGATTCCGACATCGAATATTCAGAAGGCTGCCAAAAAGATTACGTAGAAATATACTTAGGTAAGTGAAATTATACGGAAGCGGGGGGTGCTGAAAAGTTATCCCCTTGACCCATTTTCCCAACCACTAGATGACGAACTATCACATCCTTTTTAATCTTTTCTTGGTCAGGCTCAGAACTTCTCAGCATGTATACCCCTCAGGTGTATATCATATTCAGAATAGACTCGATCACAAAGGACATCGCCAATCACGCGAAATCTCTCTCGTCATTGATTCTCGAAATTTTCATTTCAGCTCAGTTTCGTAAAGCAATTTCTAAAGAAGTAATTGTCTTATTTATTAATCCGACAGATTTTATTATTTATATTCGTGGATACTTAAGTTTGAGAAGAAGCTTCGTTTATTTATTAAACAATATATTTATTTTTCATCGACCGGCCTGAATATTCGAGAAATCTTATCAAAGAAAAATATGTTAGCTTATATCCTGTTTGATTGGTTCGTTAATTAGTTCGTTTAATAGGTTTTTATATCATGTTTAATTGCTTCTTATATCCCGTTTAATTGGTCAATTTAATGGCTTTTATATCCAGTTTAATTAGTTCTTATATACTGTTTAATTAGGTCGTTTAATTGGTTCTTATATCTTGTTTAATTAGTTCGTCTACCAGCATGAATTTTCGAGAAAACTTATTAAAGAAAAATATATGCTCTCCGACACGTCGGATCTAACGACGGTTTCTCCTGCCAAGGCGGGTCACAAGTTCTTATAATCAGTAGATATACCCCCCCACACACACACACATACACCCTCGTTGCTGAATATAAGAACGCGCGTTTCCTTTCAGTTGTGCAAAGGAGGTAACTTTTGTAAATATGTTTTTAACCCACGGAGCTACTTTATATACATCCACAGATATTTTAACCCCTTGAAGATGGACTCAGATGAAGTTGAAAGCACTTGGAAAAATAAAAATCATTTAAAAGAAAATTTTAGTATTTTTTTTTTTTTTTTTTAGTCAGTTTTCAATTACAGCCGCCAAAAAACTAATTCGTAGACTTGAAAAGGTTACATCTAAAATAAATAGACATAATACATCTAAATATATATATATATATATATATATATATATATATATGTGTGTGTGTGTGTGTGTGTGTGTGCGTATATATATATGTGTATATATGTATATATATATATGTATATATGTATATATATATATATGTATATATATATATATATATATATATATATGTGTGTGTGTGTGTGCGTGTGTGTGTGTGCGTATATATCAGGACATCCCATAAGTTCTATCCAAATTTTAACTTTTTGTTAAAATGAACGAAATTTAAAGAGTATTTTATAATGTCTAATGGAGCTGAACATTATTTTTATGTTTAGATGCATTTAAACTGATCAAATTTTATTTCAGAGAACAATAACATTAAATTATGTTTGATTAAAATCCTGCTAACATGGATTACCCAAGAAATTATTTGAGGCACATAATGCTTTATGAGTTCAAGAAAGGAAACTCAGCAGCCGAAGCGGCTAGAAACATTCACTCGGTTTATGGAGAGAAATGTGGGAATGAAAGAACTTGCAGAAGATGGTTTGCAAAATTCAGAGGTGGAGATTTCACTCTTGAAGATGATGATCGAACCGGACGTCCAGTTGAGTTTGATGAAAAGCTTCTTGAAGCAGCCCTTGAAGAAAATCCTGCTTTATCAGTTGAGGAATTGGCAGTGGTTCTCAGTTCAAACCATACAACTGTTCATCGTCATCTTCAACAACTTGGAAAAGTTCCTAAACTTGGAAAATGGGTGCCTCATGAATTGTCTGAAAGCAACCTCAAATTCTCAGCTGACATCTGCTCTTCCCTCCATTCTCGCCAACTTTTTTGGATAGACTTGTGACTGGCGACGAAAAATGGATCTTTTATCGAAATGTTAAGCGTCGTAGACAGTGGCTTAGTAAAGGGGAAGGATCCCAGCCACAGCCGAGAAGGGAACTTCATGGGCAAAAGGTTCTTCTTTTAATCTGGTGGGATCGTCAAAGAAAAATCCACTTTGAATTCTTACCACCTAATGCAACAATTAATGCTCAAATATACTGTCAGCAATTAGAGCGTTTGAACCAAGCTTTGAGGAAAAAAAAGACCTGCTCTAGTGAATCGAAAAGGGGTGATGCTTCATCAGGACAATACGCAACCCCACACAGCAAGAATCACGTCGCAAAAGATCGAAGAACATGGTTGGGAGAAAATTCCTCATCCACCTTATTCTGCCGATCTTTCTCCTTCAGACTACCATTTGTTTCGTAGCTTACAGAATCATTTGGAAGAAACAGCTTTTGTAACACAGGAAGAGGTTAAAACTGGAATTAATAAGCTTGTTAATAGATGGAAGGAAGTCATAGATAATCAGGGAAAATACATTGTTGATTGAATCTGTAATTAAATGTAACATTTGGTCACTTGTTTTCTTTATTCAAAAAATATATATATATATATATATATATATATATATATAAAATGTGTGTGTGTGTATATATATATATATATATATATATATATATATATATATATATATATATATAAAGATTTTTATATACTACACGGGTAAAAATATAAGAAAAAGAAGTTGAAAATGCAACTGGAGTCTTTAAGAATATTCATTTACAGTTTCACAGTTCTACGATTTTCAAAGTTAAATTGAGATGGAGCGAGATGGATGCCTACAACGTAATGTCTCATCATTTCATGGCATTGTGCAACGCCACACCCAATAATGTTATCCTAATTTTCAAGAAACCATATCTAAAAAGTTAGGTCATCTTTAGGAACCTATTCTGCTTATTTTCTTTTCAATCTGAGAATAGCAACAAATCACTTTATGGTATCAAAAAGAAGTAAACCATTTTGATTATTAGAAAACATTTATTTCTTAAGATATTTTCAGATTGAAATTCTGTTCTCATCATATTTCTGTTCAGAAGTATGATGCTTTTTGGCTTTTCTGTTAATAGCTGTGGTATAGTTTCTTAGCCTCATTTGAACTGAGTCACTGCAGTCCCAAAGATCCAATGGCAAACCAATCAAATTTATGACTAGAAGATTTGCAACATTTTCAACATCAAGACGATTTCTTGTCAGAATAACAGAAAACCTTCTTTCAATCTCCGCAGAACTTTCAGAAATGATATTAATTATATTTTTATCTATTATATATCGGCTATTAATATATAAGATTATTTTCGGATAATCCAACAACCTAAGCTTTTATCATTTTAAGAATCTGTTCGCGTGAACCGGCAGTATTCCACTACTGTTCACAACGACGACTCTTATGGCCAACGTGGAATGCGTTTGACGACTCGATGTAGTTAGTAAGTTTACCGACGCCTTTAGTGCAATATACGTATGACTAAGAAGCTTTTAATATTTGATACAAGTATTTTGCAACTTATTGTTCATTTATGTCTCTTCTGTTTCAGGTCTTTCTCGAGATGCTCCAATTTTTAGTCGATGGTGCGGTGGTACGAGACGAAAATTCTACACCTACAATTTTTACAATTATCTCTTTGTCCATTTTCACACTGACAGCGCCTTCTCCGGAAGAGGATTCCAGTTGTCGTATTACCTTGTTCAGAGTACGTACATCACTTCCTGTTAAATGAATTAAGTAAATGCACATGCTAGACCTTTATTCACGCGGGCACTTGCGTGGGGCGAGAATTCCAAACACGCTTTTTTATATTTTGTTGGTTATTTATATATCCACTAAATCTATCTATATTTTGGCTCTCGTCCTAAAATATCGAACACCAGCAAGGATCGAACATACTAGTATTTATTTTTTTCTAATTCTAGCTTAGTTTTGCCAGAAGCTAAACATATAGTACACCTAGTAAGGATTGGATTCAGTCTGGTTAGCAGTTATTAGGGAATACTATCACGCTCATTATTACTACACGCAGAGTACGTTACTAAGTTTAGCTTACTTTGGCACAAGGCCACTAGAATAGGGCACATGACGCGGATCGAACTACTTATATTTTATTATTTAGAACACTAACTTTGATTTCGGTGCAAGACTGCAAGAAGGGGGCGCTCAGAGAAAGTCAAGCCCACTACTTAGTAGTTGTTATATGCTAACTTTAGCCTTGGTACAAGGTCACAAGAATTGGCACCCAGTGAGAATCGAATTCACATCTCAGTAATTGTTATCTACTAACTTTTGTTAAAATGAGGATCAGGCGCTCAGTGAGGATCGAACTCACTACTCAGTAGTTGCTATATACAAAGGCTAGTTTTGGCACAGATCTATAAGAATGGGGTGTTCGGTTAAGAACTCACTACTCAGTTATATATTGACAGTTGTTTTGGCGCAATGCAGGAATGGGCACCCTGTGAGGATCAAACTCATTACTCAGTAGTTGTTATATACTAAATTTATACGGAAACCGTCATATAGCCTGACGTGCCTTTATTGGTCCACAGAGGAGCTTTCGGTTAGAAAGGTCGATTTTACTGTTTTTAAACACAATTCTCCATGATTTTCTCTCATACATTCATATCTGATGAACAAATGACGTCACAGTATTAACAACATTTACCGGCCTGAATATCCGTATAGGATACAGGTTCGATTCCTGCGGAGGACGCATATTTTCTATGAAAGTTTCTCGGACATTCAGGCCGGTAAGTGTTGTTAATATTGTCTATTATAAACAGAGCATTCACTTAACTATTTGTATCTATAAAAAGAACGTATAAACATAAAAAATGTCTTAAAAAATAATTGTCGGACTTTGTCCATTTCATAATATGTGACGTCATTTGTTTACATTTGGACACGCATTGAGCAGATATGAATGTATGAGAGAAAATCATGGAGAATTGTGTTTAAAAACAGTAAAATCGACCTTGCTAACCGAAACGCTCCTCTGTGGCCCAAATACTAAATTTAGTTTTGGCACAAGGTCACAAGAATGGGTAAGGCTCAGAAGATCGCAGGACAGATTTCTACAGCTTTACACTACGGCGAGGTCCTGTTAGCTCGCTGTGGATTTGCACTTATTCCAGGTGATTCGCCACCAGCCTTGTTTTATCAAACTGCGAGAAAATCCGTTTTACATGTGCCTACATCCTGGTGATCCGTCTCCCAGACAGTATCTCCCCTTATTATGCGAAAAGGGTCTAGACAATAATAGTCTAATGAAATTAGATTATTTTGCCCCCACCCACAAACAAATGTATATGAACCCCCACATTAAATAACCCCGTTCTGCGAGATTCCATCCCCGTGAGAGAATAAATACTTTCTTGCAAACAACGGATAGCAAGTTTGATCCTTGTAGAATGTAATATAGCCACACCTTTTTACCTAATCGGCTTAGTCCCGCCAGAACGCCTGCCGTAGAGAAACAGTAAGTAATATTTAGCTCCTCTCCCCACTGAGACATGATGTGATACAAGGTCGGGTTTACTGTTGGGGAACCCGAGCGCATACTCCCAGGCCAAGGCCCCAAATTGCCCAGTCCTCGCAACCGTCTGATGCGCTGGCCTCGGTAATGATCATCAATCCCGCCTTTCTGGTGAAATGTGAAAAGTGTGCAGCCTCGGGCAGCTGTTACTCGGGACCGGTCACCTTACAGTATTTCTTTTTTATAATTTTTCAAGTCTTGTAAATTTAAATCTTTTTTTTTAATATACAGCTGATTCGGTCTGTTCCGAGTCGATCTCTGTGACGGTGGTGAGAAATTCGTGGCACGAGTTAACTTCGCCTTACTATCCAACCGTTTATGAAGGGTAAGTCTAGCTGAAATTAGTAACAATTTTCTTCGTTATTCAGGTTCACATGCTAAAAGTTTCTTTCTCGCACTTCTCGCTTGTGGAACTCCCTTCTGACTCCATGCTTTTCAGCCAACTTTGATCTTCAAAATTTAAATGTAATATCAATTGTTATCTGTTGTCTTCCTGATTACTCTTCTATTGCTCTCACACTTTAATAGCATTTCTCTTTTTTTCTTATTCTTTCACACCCAATAACCACTTATGTCTTAATGGTTTTACTTCCTTGCCTGGGGTGAATTCGATTCAAAACATTATGGAAAATTGCAGAAAGAGCATATTATATTTAATTTAATATTATTATATTTATATTTAATTTGAGGAAGATTCTTCATTATTCCAGAGGTTTTTCAGTCTGATTCTTCCATTGGGTGGTTGTGTTATTAGTACAAAGGTTTCGACTGATGTATTCTACAACCTTATATCAAGATCTTTAATTGGCTGTTTGATGAAAAGCAAACAGGATAATTTTGTAACCACGTCTGTTTCTGACTGTCCGTTTGGTGAAGGCATAATTCGTCGTAGGTATAATGGATGAAACATTGTAATTAAAACATTCACCGGGACTCTCAGCCAACTATCCATCGACCATCTATTGACTAGTTCACGTTGTCTCCATTCTCGTTTACATCAGTGTGCACCAAAAACTGGGCAAGATCCTGCTGCACGTTCACCAGGAAACGAAAGAAGAAAACAAACGTCACGGCGATAAATGAGGAAACTAACTCTATTTTCATTTTATTTAGGTGTTTATTCAGGGATTCACTTGCTTGGTCTAGGGAGGTGAGTAGTTAGGTGACACTTGGGACTGCTATCTTACCTTCGAATTTTCCTCCTACAAACTCCCTTACCAACCACCACGATGTGTAGCTGGCAACACGACAGTGTGGCATCAGAACTAGCTGAGGGACAGTCATTTCCACGCTAGGACGGGGAAATACTTCTAAATCCCAACTATGATTGTTAATATGAACCAGTAACCGGAAATCATCAATATCCGATTTGTTGTTACTTGAGCTCAAAAGCTCTCATTTATTTATTCGTTTGTTCTCTTTCGCTACAGGTGATGCTATTTAGAAGACCCGATTTTATCCACCAGAAACTAAACACTTGAAATTGAGATAAAATCACAACTACCTCTTCTGTATAAATCTGCCCATTCATAGTGCTACAACAAGGGAAAAAGTTCAGAGTAAACATTAAATAATAAAGAAAATACTGTTGGTATTAAAACATTAAAAGTAGGTACCTCCAATAATTCGCTAAAATCAGTATAGCATAATGATGAAAGGTCCCAACCTTAATAAAAAGAAAGTTTTATCGTCAAAATGTTTATGTTATTATTAAGAGGAAAGAACAAAGTATTTTTTTAATTATTTAAAAAAAAATCCTTCTTTCTAACACGTTCTATATTTGAGTAAAAAATCTCATTTTTTTTTTGTTTTTTTTTTGTTTTTTGTTTTTTTTTGTTTAGTTTTTTTTAACTTTCTACTACTTGTGATAATGGCCATTTTAGTGTAGCAGTTTCCGGTGGAAAACCCATTAATTTTGAAATTCTTGCGAAAATCAAGTAATTGTCTGATTTTAATGAAACTGTCAGAACTTATTAAAAAATGAATGAATTCATTTTTGAAACTTTTATTTTTAGCAAATCTTGTTAAAAATAATTGTTTTACATCTGTTACGCCTCCCCATAAATTAATTTTATGAAATTTTCTAGAATTTCAAACAGTTCGCAAATTGTTTTATATATTACTTATAAGCAAGACTCTTTGGAGAAATTGAAATCATTTTTTTTTTTTTTACAACTACTGCCAACTTTTTAAAAATCTACTCCAAATCCTAAAATTAAAAACTGCAATAAAACTACCTAATTATCGAATTAGACAGGTTTTATTTAATTTTATAAATAATATATATTAAGAACATTATTATCTGAAGAAAAAAATTTTTGATGAATAAAGAATTTTTAAAAGAATTGTTTGCATTTTTCTTTTAGGGTTTTTCATTTTTCTTTAATTTTAAAAAATGTTTTAAAATTCTTCCAAACAGAGGACGCGTTTTTAAGTAAAGACTATATTTACTAAGCGAAAATTAAAAGCTTAATATAAATCATGCTACCAAAACTTTTTACCATAATTAAATATGTTTTTTTATGCGTCAAAATGTTATATTTTTTTTTCATTATGTTATCTCGTAAGTGACATTATGGTTAAAAGGTCACATGTTTCAAGGCTTGTCTCCTCCTTAGGGAAAGCCCCTTGATATATAAAGGTCTTCGGCTTATCTCACTCTCAGTTATTAAATTAAAAATTAAATTGAGATAATAAAATTATCTCATTTATCAATTTAAACAATTAATAATTGAGTGAGATATTTTAATTATTAATATAATAATATTTTTTTAATTATTATCTCAGTTATTAAATTAAATATGTAATACCTTAATGTAATATTAATAATTAATATAATTATTTATCATTATCTTAGCTATTAAATAATGAAATACCATTATAGATGTAACTCAATAATGTAAGAAAAAACCATTATGTCAATTTTGGTGCACCGTACTAAACCTGTCAGCACATTCAGCCATCAAATTATCGATGGAGTCGTGAAAATAACAATAAACCAAGGTCAAGAAATGTTTCTCTAGAAAATGTTATGTTATAAGTAAATAATATTCGTTTCAGAACAGATTAATTTAACTTTAAATTGGCTAATTTTATGAAAGTAACGTTTCAGGAATATATATCTTATTTTAGCGTGATTTTCAAAAAGGAAAAAATAAGTTTTGTCTAAATTTCTCTAAAAAAAAAGTTTTAAAAATGGCCGTTTCGATTGGTTTTTTGGAAGAATCGACAAAAAATCCTTCAAATTTCTATTTGAAATATTCCTCAGTATTTTTTCCTGGAATTAGAAAAATTAATCCTTTAGCTTTCAATTGAGGCGGTTGCAAAGCTTCGAAAATTATATTTCCTTTATGAAAAATTATATTTAAACCTTAGGTATACGAATTTTTGGAGGTACCTACATTAAAAGTAATAACAAGCATAGAGATCAAGAAAGAGGCAGGTTTTAAACGTTAGATTTGGTTTTTCTGTCAACCGAAGTACTTCACTGTAGCTCAGATGTCAAGAACAACTGATACGGTTAATCAGACTTCCCAGATGCAAAGAGGACGTGAGTTCGATTCTCACTGGGGAGGGTGGTGCTGAGCTTTTCCTTTCCGTAGTATTTAATCCTAATCTATCGATAGATTGTAGATGAGATGGATCCATGCCTTTCTCAAGAGTATTCCTGTGAAAATGATCTCAGTGGGATGGGATTTGAACTTCGTTCGCTGATTTTGCTCTCGGCGTTTTTAATCATTGTTACTTGCATTACCTTTGTGACTGTTTCATCTTAACAAAATAAAAAAAAACGAAAGAAAATTCTAATAAAGTATATAACGTATTTATTTTTACTTTCAGAAACGTCACTTGTACTTGGGTGATTGAATCCCAGCATCCAAATGATTTGATAGAAATGCAAGTGGTTGAATCAGAAATCGAAGAATCTATTGGATGTATTTATGACTATGTTACCATTTATGACGGTGAGATAATTATGTTGTTATTCAAGATCTAACCCAATTAAGAATACATTTTTAAAGCATGGATAAAAATGATATCTTATAATTTAAGTAATTCGTAAACATCTCTATCTACGCTTCATTTGTCAGCCGCAGGCTTAAATAACGCCACCTTGTGGGAAAAAATGTACAACTAGACAAAACAGGAAAATTAATTTGCTCTATTTTCAGTCCAATCGAATTAACTCGTGCTTGACGTCATATTTCTCTCGCGATAAAGGGTGTTTGTGTGCAAGTTCTCTCGAGCGGAATGTGGCACAAGGCCGAGTTTAAAGTTGTCATTCCGTATGTACATGGAAGCAGAAACCAAAAATCGCTTCACTCGTCATTTCAGGCTTCAAGTATTAACCCTTGTCCCCTTCCCAAGGGAGAGGTATTGAAAGGTGGAGACGGGACGCTATCACTGAACTTTATTTATTTTATATCTCGAAAGCGAAAAGTGAGATCTCAAAGATAAATGGATATCTTAAAACTTTAGCGTAATGTGTCATTCTCTCTCTCTCTCTCTCTCTCTCACTCTCTCTTTCTCTTTCTCAAGTGGTATATTTATTTTAGTATCTCTATGTGTCTCTGTCAGGCAATGGTTTCACCATTTTTTTTTTTCATCCATCTGTGTTTCTAACTCAGTCAGTAGAATTAGTATCTTTCTCACTCTCCGCAGCGCATAAAATTGCTTTGATCTCTGTTTCTCTCGCTCTAAATCTCTTTCAAGCAAAAACCTCGGCGCCTTCTTTTTCGCTCTCAGATAATAGTATTAGCATCTCTTCCTCTCTACTTCATAAACAATGTCTTTATTTTCTCTCTCTTTCTAAGGCAATGAAATTCATGACCCTCTTTTCAGACAAAGATTTTAGAGTCCGTCTCTCTCTTTCTCTCTCTCTCTCTCTCTCTCTCTCTCTCTCTCTCTCTGGTTATAGCATTCACGTCACTTTTTATCTATTTCTCAAACAACGCTTTAATTATTATCATTCTCTCTATCTCTTCTGCAATAGCTTTTGTGTCTCTTTTTGCAAGCAATGATTTTAAACTTTCTCTCATTCACGGCCCTCCTCCCACAAAACGGATTCAGGATGTTAATAAAAACAGCTTGCAAAATTTTCTATTGACTGAGAATATAGAAAAACAAAAAATTGTAACAGAAAATATATAAAGTTATGTAATAAATGTATTTTCGTCTTTCTGTATAAATGGAGAGATCAGTTGTTTTTTTTATACGGTAACATTCGATATTCATCGTCTGAACAGATAATGTTAATGTCGGTTGAAATTTATAAAATCTTTTTCTCAGAACAGTTTTTTTTTTTCCAAAAATTACATTTCTCAAATCCATTGTTATCGATGTTATTATATTATTATTGATGGCAGTTTCCTTCCTAATCTTTTGTGTAAGGTATTATGGGACGCTAACAATTTCAATTATTTCATCGTTTTATTCTTCTCCTGACGTGCCCTACCCATCTTTGTTGTTGAAAGTGTTCAAGAAAGGCGTTTTTATCATATTGCTGCCACATATGGTCTGTTTAGAGATCCTTGATAAAATCCAAAAAAGCATCAGCAATCTTATAGGTCTTGACCTGGTGTCTCGGCTTTAGTAACCTTCTCATCGCCTAATGTAGCTTCACTATGCTTTGTTCTATAAATACCATCATGATAATTGTTCGGATGAACTCTCCGCTGTCATGCTGAAACTTTATGAATTTAAGCGCAGTACTAGATTGGCTGTTGGGTCTCATCAGTTCACAGTTGAATTGGCGAGATGTAACCGTAAGTTCTATAAGTTTCTTTTTGTTGCACTTCTCGCTTGTGGAACTCTTTTCTGGCTCCATGCTTTTCAGCCAACTTTGATCTTCAAATATTTAAATGCAGTGTCAATTGTTATTTCCTGTTTTCTTGATTACTCTTCTTCTATTGTTCTCGCTTCTTAATAAAGTTTCTCTTTTTTTATTCTTTCACAATCTGTAACCTATTGCGTCTTAGTGGCTTTACTGCCTTGTATAGGATGAAAACAAACAAAATCAGTAAAGTTCTTTGTGTTTCTGTAGCATCAGAGTATGTTAGTTCTGGTGATGAATTGTCTCCTGTAAGATTAGGAGGGTTAATTCGTTTGAAGCTACTTTTAACCATTGATATGAAAAAATGGTTGTTTACAGATAACAGTTTAAACATTACTGAATAATGTAGACGCCCTCCATGTCTTCCATATGGAAGTCTAAATCTGGCGAGTCTGTTTAAGAACATGGCTCAAGTTCTCAGGCTAATATCTTGGTTTTGAAGCATCTTAGGCGTACCTTCGTCAAGTATAGTAAGGCAAACTCCAACCGATGCGGTTGTATTCGTTTTTACACAAAAAAAGAAAGAAAAATCCTTACGAAATATACCAGTCAATCTATTCCCTAGCTATGGTCAGAATAAACTCTATAGCCTTGGTTGGCAACCAGTCTAGGAGAATGGTATCTCTGAATTCAAAATCGTTTTTGCATCGAACTAACAACACCATCCTGTAAAAATCTACTTGCTATAGAAACCACTGTAGCAACACCTACCGTATCGAGGCTGTGACATTATTTTCATGTTAGGACGGACGTCATAAAAAGGGAGCTAACTCACTCCCTAGACAGGAACCAAATTATTCCCCTTCATCAGAACTCTCTAGGAAAACAGAGAAGAAAATTATTTCTTGATGACAGTCATGAATTCCCATATGTTGCCTATCGAATTATTAATCTATAGTGGATATAAGAAGGCATATTTTAAAATGTGCTGCAAATAAAATATGCAATATTCACAAACATAAATTATAAGAAATGGCCAAATGGTAACAATATTCATGACAAAAATACATGTTTGAAAGAACAAATAAAATTTTATATACACAATTTACAATTTCTTTATTTATAATGATGTGTGCAAAAGTATATTTAAGAGAAAAAGTTCCTTGCTGTTTTGGAAATGTTCAATGTCTAGAAAGTTGTCTGACTTTGATTAAAAAGGTTGAATTTAACTTAGATAAAAGTTTGTTTGTTTTTTCTATGAAAGATGTTGAGTGAAAAGGTTTGTTGTGTAAATTTTTCTAATCTCTCATAAAGGAAGTTTGTTTCTTCGGCATCTCTCTGAAGCAATAATTCCTGTGTATATCTTTCACGTGTGTGAGTCTCAATTACGACGAGAATTCGTTCGCCATTTCTATTTATAGTTTTTTTTAACAACCAAATCGGCTCAACGGGGCTTGGTAGCTGTTGCGAATGTTGTATTTTTTAGCCAATAGGATTTCTTGAAACATTTAAATTAGGGATGAATTTGAGAAAGATTTTTTTACGTCAGCTGAGCCTAATTTGCACAAAATTTGATTGTTTTGTTATGAAAATTCCTCGAAGTTTATTTTATATTTAACAACCAATGAAATTCAAGAAAATGTTTGAAATTGAAATGAGGGTTACTAAAAATCCAAAAGTAATCCATAAGTAATCCATAAGTAATCCATAAGTAATCCATAAGTAATCCAAAAGTAATCCATAAGTAATCCATAAGTAATCCAAAAGTAATCCAAAAGTAATCCATAAGTAATCCATAAGTAATCCAAAAGTAATCCATAAGTAATCCAAAAGTAATCCAAAAGTAATCCAAAAGTAATCCATAAGTAATCCATAAGTAATCCATAAGTAATCCAAAAGTAATCCATAAGTAATCCAAAAGTAATCCATAAGTAATCCATAAGTAATCCATAAGTAATCCATAAGTAATCCATAAGTAATCCAAAAGTAATCCAAAAGTAATCCATAAGTAATCCATAAGTAATCCAAAAGTAATCCAAAAGTAATCCATAAGTAATCCATAAGTAAATAAGTAATCCAAAATTAAATAAGTAATCCATAAGTAATCCAAAAATTAATCCATAAGTAATCCATAAGTAATCCATAAGTAATCCAAAAATAATTCTTTTTAATCCATAAGTAATCCATAACCATAAGTAATCCAAAAGTAATCCAAAAAGTAATCCATAAGTAATCCATAAGTAATCCAAAAGTAATCCATAAGTAATCCATAAGTAATCCATAAGTAATCCATAAGTAATCCAAAAGTAATCCATAAGTAATCCATAAGTAATCCATAAGTAATCCACTGGTCATGTTTTACATCTATTGTTATCCAATAGTAAATAAAATGTATAAAGGTTCGAATTGTGTGTTCGTTCTTATTTGACACAGCTAAGCACACACAGAGACGCAACAACTCCACAACAGAATTTAGAGCCCTCATATAGATTTATGTCTGTGATACATTTTCCTCCATCTATTTGCTTAACTTACTGCTTTCCTATGCTTCTCTTACCAGTGGTCTAAAAATTATTTTTTTCTGTATTAATTACTAGCAGTAGAGCCTGGCGTTGCCCGGGGATGTAACAATAAAAGAGATAGATCAAGTATCGTCCATCATAAAGACTGAAAAATAAAATTGACAAAGATTATTGTTTAAGGTTGACGGACACGCATGTCTTGGGTTTTTTATTTCTCTTTTTTTTTCTTTTTTTTTTTACGAATTGGTCAAACTCAAACAAAAACATTGTTTTCAACCGTTATGAAACTATCGATTGAATAGAATTTTATTATAAACAATTGTCTTGTAAATGGAATTTTTAAAGCATTCAGAATGTAAAAATAAAGAAAAAAGGGTGCAAGACAATAAGAAACACTACCTGCCAAAAAAAAGTGAAGTTTTGTTGAAATAGGTTGAAAAATGTAAGAAATCCGATCCCATATATAAACGAACACACACACACATACACACACACACACACACACACAAACAACCTGGGTTTTATAATAAGTATAATTTGATATGAGTTGTCCCCCTTTCATTCTGGCGACAGAATCGTGTTTTCAAATTGATTTCATGCAAAAACAATTGTGTTTTTTCCAATTTTGGCGCTGTCAGAACCACCGCAAGGTAATTTTACGTTGTCCTGTGAAGTTTTGTTGAAATCAGGTGAAAAATGTAGGAAATCCGATCCAATATATAAACGTACACACACACACACACACACAATCTGCGTTTTATAATAAGTAAGATTTGACTCTCTCTGATGTGTACATGTTTTGGCGAGTCTTAGTTGTAACGGTCTGAACTGGAAGAACTAGAGAGAATGTTGCTCGTCAGCACATTTTCCATGTAAATAGCGACAGACCAGCGACGTTGAGTCCGTGAGAAATGAGTGGAATTATAATTCATCAACTACAAGGCTGCATAAACACCTTTGAACTCTGTCAGGATTGGAAAGCAGCTGCAATCCAGATATACACCATTTTCCTTTGTCTAATCCAGAATTTTTCAACCGGTACGCCCCGGGAGCATTAAAATGTAGCCAAGGGTACCCCAAATTAAAAGAAGAGTAATTTATGAATTATTTTAATATTTAAATAAAAATCTTTATTTTAAAAAAGCTAGAGACACCAAGCACATGACTTCTATGTCTAAGTCAAGTCTTTGCCATTTGATATTTTCAACTAGATGTTAAATTCCTTAATCTTTTAAGAAATGGATAATCCTTTCCCTTTTGCCTTCTCTAAAAAAGAGTTCTTCATAAATCCTTTTAAATGAAAACCGTACCTCTTTGGGAATACTAAACCAAAACTTCATATTTTCAAATTTCGTAACTAATTTATCCTTATTAAAATTTAAAGTGCACTCCAGATTTTTAGTTATTCTACAAGTGCGTCCAGAAGTTAAAAAAAAAAGATTGAGAAACACTGGTCTCATCTAACCTTTGTAATGATTGAGCATAGCAGATGGCGTCAGATACTTCTTGTAGCGATGTAAGAAGCCGACCAAATTTCCAGCATCTTTAGCGATGAATCGTATAGATGTGCTCCAGATGAGGAGTAAACTTGAGTCCTAAGTGATGCTCAAAACAAGGAACGCCTTTTGCATCCGTTAATCGTTCAGACATTGTTCAGCATTCACTGCCATATAGAAAATTAGATATTACGTAACACCTTTCTTTGTCTCTAGCGACATTTTCTTATTTCTTTTAGTTTCTCTAAGGTAACTTCCGGTAAACATGGACTTCGCTACCCGCAAAAAAAATCAGAAAATCAAAAGGACGGTTTTGCCTATGACACTCTTCGGCAATGTTGATTGTTTTTAAAAGCAATTATTAGAATTGTTATAAAACCTAAACATATGAGGAAAGTGAATTTATTCATCTTTTTCTTCTTGAAAATTTACAACAAAGAAATTAAACACTATTTATTTATCTGATTATTTATATACAAGAATAATTTTATAGTAGCTTAAAAGCCATTCTATTGGGCGGCACTTAATGTTAGATCCTACGAAGGGCTCTTGACTCGGCATTCATCACAATGAAGAGTAGATGCGATGTGCAACAATAAACTACAGAAGAATTCAAGATGGATCGCTGCATTTATACATTGTATTAATATTCAAGCTTACATTTTAAAAGTTTAACGATAATTCTTCTGCCACCATTTAATTTAAAGACAATTTGATGTATGTAGGTCCTTACTTTCCGGACAAACAATTATTTTTATTTCATGGGTGTCTTTCGCAAGTAATTTCAATTATTCCCAATTTATTTATTTCCAAGTTATAAAAATCATTAACGTACAAAAAATTCGTCGCAAAAATCACCGGAAACAATCGCAGTAAGGAAAAGTTGGGAATCCAAAATTTTAGGATTGGGGGTCTGGATCCGTCCGGGAATGTTTGTTTTTTTTTTATTTTCTCACAGAGTCAGCCTGATTCCCAAATTGATATATGTTGGGCTACGGCTTCTAAGAATAAAGTTGAAAAAGTGCAACACAGTGAAACACTGACATTCGCATTTATTATATGGATGTATAACATTTCCAAAAATAATATAATTTAATCTAATGCAATACAATATTTATAATTTACCAATTTATAATGAAAGAAATATGAAAATAATTTATTTATAAACATTTACTAAATTATTAAAATATGTGAACCAGTTATAAGGAAATCCTTATTTATTATTTTGTAAATTTTGAATTAATTAGCAATTAGCCAATGTTTTGCCAACGATTCCAGTAAACAATATAAAATGGAGCTAACCCTAGCCTACCTTAGCGCTGGAAAAAGTTATATTTATTATAAAGGATAGTTACAAGCGAGAGGGGGAGATGGGGTGTGTTTATTTTATTATCACACCAACCATTCCAATAAACAATATAATAAATAGTGTAAATAAACACTCAAATAAATAAATAATGTTTATCATTTATGTTGTTAGTTTCCAAGAACAAAAAAAATTGTATAAATTGACTTTCATATGTTTAGGTTTTATTAAAATTCTAATCATCGCTTTGTAAAACAATAAACATTGCCGAGGGAGTAAAGGTAGTTAAAATAAAAGCGGTGTCATGGGGAAAACCTTCCTATTGACAATCCGTATGTTTTTGTTTTTTTTGTTTTTTTTTGTTTTTGTTTCTTGTAAACACGATGTTTGTCGATCTTCTGCTATTCCGATATGTCTTCAACTTTCTGTGTCATATTTTCCGTCACCTATGTGTGTGTATGTTTACCTTTATTAGACAAAATTTAATATATGCATATATTTTTTTTTCTAATCAGGTCATAATAAAGAGGCGAAAGTGCTGCGCCGTTGGTGTGGAAAAGAGACTCCGCATTTTCTCAGCAGCCAGTCAGCTTTCGTCATTGAGTTTTTCACAGACAATTCCTACGAGTACAAAGGTTTTAAAATCCGGCTCCGGTCTGTCAAAAGACGTAAGTTAGACAACACACACACACACATAAAAAAAAAAAAAACTCTTACCGTTCTGGAAAACAAATTCGGTGTTTACACTTAGTGTATCAGCGGCTGGACGCGATGCGTGATGTAGCGTTAATAGAATGCTGAATTTGTCTTACTATTTTATTATTTTATATTAATTAATATGTTAATATGCCAGATATGTTCGCCAAACAAATTTTTGTAGGATATATTTGTGGCATCCTGTTAGAGGTAGTACAGTATTTCTTTTTTAGGAGTGCTTTCCCACTTGTTTACAACTTGATGGTAAAGGTTTGCATTTTATACCGGCGATATAAGTCGACCCTTAGTTTTAGAAATTTAGGCTTGAAAAGACAGGTCCAGCGCAGTTTACGGTAGATCTTTGAGAGAATTAGAACAGTTGGTATGTTTTAAAAAAACATACTTCATTTAGCTATCTATTGTAGACATTTGTACTCTTTTTATAACAATGTAGTAAACAGTAATGTAATTGCCAAAGCTATGTTCTTATAATTTCTGTTTCGCAGGAGATGTATGCGGTCCGGCTGGATATTTTGCTGTCAAGGGCGAAATTAAATATCTATCTTCACCTACGACCTTATCGCCACTATACAGGTAAAACAGAATTTGTTTTTCTTTTACAAGTCTAAATATGTATGTGTCATAAAGCGATCGAAGATTTTAGACGCTTTGCGTTTTGAAAATCACGCTTTAAAAATCATAAAACTAGTGTATGATAAAAATGTTATTTTATGGTTCTATGAATATGTATTTCGTTTTGAGAACTGACGCCCGTTCCCGAATAAGTACCTATTCAAAAAGAGATAACCTATGGATTATCTTTCAGATCTGCATCCTGTATGTGGCTGATTGAAACTAATCCGGGAGACATCCTCAAAATAGAAGTCATCTTTTCATCTCTCGGCCAGTCTCCAGTTTGCGACAATACATATTTTAAGGTTTATGACGGTATGACATTTACTTATTTATTAGATTTTCTATTCGAAGCAACGTCTGTTGTGCTCGGGTTTGTTTTACAATTTCTTTTTGAAAATATGTCAATAAGCGTTTATTAGAAAACGCCAAGATCTGATAATTCTGGGGGGTCTTTTTTTCCATCAAACGCTAACGTCCGTAATTTTAATGTACGGAAGCATAAAATGATTAAAAAAGTATTAAATTGCATTTTTTGCCGACTATAAACTCAATTTTTGGTCAGATTTTAGCAGCAGTTTGATAAAGAATCAAAAATGTTTCTCTCGAACAGTCAGTCGTGTATCTTTTTTTAGCTGGGTTCCAGTTAAGTGATAAGGTTTTGCGGGTTTCACCGAAGAATGCTGTCAAACAGATGAAATAAAAAAAAAATTAACAGTATAGAGCGTATCATATTGCAGTTTTTTTTTTTTTGGTTTTTGGTTTTTTGCAACCAGCTCGGAGGGTTAACGGGTAGGGTTTTGGTTTTATGATGGACACTAAAGAAAAACATCTCATTCTCATGACCTTATGTGGTGGGAAAAAAGACTTCAGTAGATTAAAATTATGAACGTCAGCTTTTAACGGCGATTAATAACAGAAAAGAAAGAAATTCTTAGCAATAAAAAGTGTACGCTTCTATCGCAACTTTTCATCTCTGACAACATTTTTCGATTCCAAACGAAAGAAGCCAAATCGAAAATACTGTAACAGCCTCGTTTTCATCTACAGTCATGTCGTTTAAGAAAAATTAGACTCAGTGGGAAAAAAGAAAAGAAAAGACGAAACAAGAAACTTTTCTAAAAACATATTTAGACAGATTTAAGCGTGATTTTATTTATTCCTGGCAATATCAATAAAATAAAAATTTTAAAATTACCGCGACTAATTTTAAACATATTCTAAATCAATATTTTCAGAATTTATTGATGAATTTGCGTTATTCTTTCATCTTTTTTTATTTAAATTTTTTTTTAAATGCTAAAAAACTGTAACATTTTCTTTAAGTTTCCTATATATGTACCTATATAGCGATGTAATTCTGAGAGAATTAGAAGTCCTACCAGGATTCATTATTGGCGTCCACAATCTTAACAACATAAGATATGCAGATGACACAGTGTTGATAGCAGGTGTAGCGAAGGAAAGCAAGAAGAAAGGACTAAGTATAAACTACAAGACAGAATACATGGTTATCAGAGGTGTCCAAAATGCAAATTACAAATTGGGGATACTAAAAACAGAAAAGTGGTGACATTTAAATATATGGGAAGTCTTTTAACAGAGGAGATAATGTGCGACACTGAGATCCGAAGACGTATTGGAATGGCCAAAGATGCCTTCCAAAAGCTAAGCAGAGTATTAAGAGACAGAAAAATTTCGTTAGCAACAAAGAAAAGAGTACTAAATTGTTGTGATATCTGTCCTCCTATATGGCAGCAAATACTGGACAATCTCTCAAAGATGGAAAACAGATTTGAAGTAACAAAAATGATGAATCCATCTATTCACCTCAAGCTTTATGTTAATTAGTAAGGCTTGTATCAGTAAACCGTTGTTGTCTAAAATATTCTTATAATCTAAACGTATTTGCTGGCTTTAAATAACCTTCAACGATTTGATAAGGCTTAAAAAACGATCCAACAATCTATCGTTAAAGATGCTTGTAAAATCGTTGGCTTCTACTGCTGCAGAAATTATCTGACTCCTCCTGCCATGCTCTCTTACCTAATCTCTACTTTCCAGTCTCAACTAAGTTCAAAAGTTTTTGCACGACATTGTGTGTAGTATATTGTTTTTTTGTTTTTCTTTTTATCCTTCAACCCCTTTCCTACAAAGCAAAGAGTTTCTAGACTCTCTCGCTAACCTGCCACTATTTTCATGACTGATATTCGGGTTAACTACATTCCTGTGTCCAGTCAGCTTCTTTCCCAGAAATGTTCCAACGTGGAACGGATTCCTGAGCTAATGCTCCTCTGATCATTACAATCTTAAACTCTTCAAGTCAAATTAACCGTCACCCCCTCCTACATATCATCATAATACGCAATCCTTGCTGCCTCCGTATACACCCTTATCGAATCCCTATTCACTAATACTCTACCTTGACTGGCACTTAGGCCTTGTATTTGTTGAACAATAGTAAAAAGAAAAGCGAAATCTCTGGGAGATAATAAAAATAAAATAAATCTAGGAAGAGTTACCTGATGTATCCGCGATTAACCAATACCGACATGTAAGAACGACGCTGATTGGCTAGCATAATGCAACCGTTGTACGTCTAGAGTACCACGTGACAGTGGGGCTTTTCTCGACACCTTAAAAACGCTCCGTCATTCTTTTTGTCGTCGGCTTTCCTCGAAACTTAGCTGAAGGATGTATGTGTGTGTATTGTCTCCATTTTATACCCCCCCCCCATTTTTAGCTTAACCCCACTCCCTTCCCTTGTTAGGTGAACAAAGATGTCAATTCTCTGGTGGATGCGGGATGCTTTACGTATTTGGTGATGTGTTTGAATGAGTGGTTGGACGAATGTTTGTTTAAGTTACTTAAGATACCGCATTAATTTCGTCCAGTTAAATGATGTTTCTGTCACTATTAAATATTTGGGCGGGGGGGATATTGCTAACACTATTTTTTTTTTTAGTTTCTTATAAATATATATATACATTACATTGTAAATACACATTGGGGTTAGGTTTTTAAATTGTTGTTTTATTCCTTTCCCATCACAGACAAAAATTGTACATATGGAACTAGTTAGGACATCATAGAAATTCTGAGGTATTATGGTGGATGTAGTAAGAATGGTAAGTAAGAATGTCATATGGAGTACGGTGGAATAATGGATAGCGGCTCGGATTGTGGAATAGGAGATCCGAGTTCGAATTCCAGTCGAAACCATTACATTCACTTACGTGCTAATAACCTTGAGAAAAGTATGAATTCTCTTTTTCTCTCCCCAGCTATGGGTAAATAGTAGGACAGACCGCGTATTATATCCTTGGATAGCAACTGGTCTACCGCAGAAAGAAATGGACACTTAACAATCTGCCTCGAAAGATACATGATCGCCTAAGCGTGTATCACGCATGGCACATAACTGACTGAAGTAAGAATATGTTGTTTTGGTGTAAGGTATACTGTAATATGTTTCGGTCAGTAATTGTGGCTAGCTAGGTTTAATTATAAGACAGAAGAAAACCAACCATCCCCATTCCCCTTTTGGTCTCTTGACATATTTCTGTATTTTACAGAATATCAGGTTGAGAAATTACAGCTAGAGGACTTATGCTCATCGGGCCCTTTTTATTTTCCCCTCTCTTTAGTTTAACCCCATTCGCCTTCTCGTTAGGTGGCCAGAGATGTCAGTTGTCTGGTCGATGCGGGACGCCTTTCGTATTTCGAGTGTGCATTTTGTATTTGTTGTTATGTTTGAATTAATTTTTCCTTCTAGCGTCAACCATTCTGGTAGAATGAGTGATGCTAGACTCAAGGAGAGCAACACACTACGCCTTCTTGGCCTCACGTTTTCCACTAACTTGAAGTGTAGCGAATACATCGAACCAATAGCTGCATCTATTGCAAGGAAAGTTGGGTCACCGTATCGTGTCAGAAAATTTTCCTAGTCAGAATCCGTCTTGAGCATTCACAAGTTATATAAATTGTATAATTATTATAACTGACTCAAATATTAAATTTTGCTTTTACGAAAATAAATGTTCACATTTAAATCTGAATAAAATGTATTTCTTTTAACTGTTTTACTTGTTGTGTCTTTACACCCGCCCAGGACTAACTGAAGACGATCAATTATTGGGATTCACTTGTGGGAATCGAACTCCAACCTACATATCAACGGGACAACACATGCTCCTCACATTAAAGTCATCTAACGAAAGCAATGGATTTTTTATGAGCTACACCGCTTTAACAAGGGGTAAATATGAATTAATTGCAATCGTTATACATGTAATAGCTTTTTTTTCTGTCAGTAACGTATTTGCGTTAATTCGCGATTCAATTGATAATTCAGATCTTCAGGATTTTCAATGTATTTTTGTTAAAAGAAGCATTCCCAGCACTTTTCTAATCTGAAATTATTATCGTGAATTCATTTAAAATACAATTCATCGTAAAACCATTTATGTTGCAATTCTGTCGTGAAATTATTTACAATGTAATTTTGTGAATTCGTTTAAAATACAATTCAGTCGTAAAATCATTGCCAATGCAATTCTGTCGTGAAGTCATTTACAATGCATTTATATAATATTTAAATTTTGTTAATACAATTTTTCTTCATTAATAATCACTAATAATACTTTTTTTACTTATTTTTCCCTAATTTTTAATTCATAACATAGAGATTGAATACTGGTTATAACTAAAACCTTAGATTAGAAACAGAACGACAAAGACGGCCATGATAAAGCCTATTTCAAGACGAATTTAAAGTAAGACAATCACTTAACAGAAACAGATAAAGATATCTGAGTAGCTCACATGAAAGGCTTGAACAAATAAAGCTGCAATCTAAAAAAAAACATAGGAGTAAAGAAACTGATTAATTAAATGATTCATTTTGCTCGTAAACAAAGTTTGTCCAAATGCAGATATTTGTCTAGATTAATAGGAAGTAATCACTCATAAATTTGCTAACTCAAGTTGATTTGTCTCCTTTCCAACTAGAGATGGGTCAAGAAATATATTAATAAATACAAATTGATAATTATTATTATGATTTGATAATGATTATAACCAAAATCTATTTGGTTGAGTCGTAATTAACTTCCGGTTTTGGGAACTAATTGTAGTGATGAATATATCATCTTAACTATTAACTATACATTGCATGTAAGAATAAATTTTTGTACACTTAGGTTTTGAAACCACACTCAGAGCAAATGAGATGAATTACAACAACTGCACGTCTCCTAAGAACCTTCCCAATAATTTCTGAAATTTTCCATTTTTAGCAAGTCATGTCAGTACCTAAAGATCCTTCGGATTTTGGAGGTTTTCGAATTTGGGAATTTCAGGTAAAGGATACTCAACCTGTACGAAATTTTTAGAGAAAATGTAAACAAAAATGACATTTATAATTCATATAATGAGAAAGATGGGCTTGAATAATTTAACACTCACAAGACGTGATTGAAGACAAAATGGAAAACAATGTCGAACCTACTTAGAGAGTTTGAGTGAATGGATGGCGGAACAGTTTAGGAGAGATAATAAAAAGACAAAATTTATTAAAAGCTACAAAGGACCGGAAATTGTGGAGAGCCATGATCGTCAACGTCCTGAGGAGTCACCGAACATAGAAAACATTTCCTTTCAACAAGATCTTGGGGATTTTTCTCGCTAAAAGAAGTATAAAAGCAAATGCTGATCATTTGAAAGAAATGATTAAACGTGCGAGTTTTAATTAAATTCAAATTTAATAAGAGTAGTTAGGTTAACCTATCGACCGGTTCACACTCCTCCCCAGTCTTTTGAACAGTGGTAGAGGTTTATCCACTGTCCCCTGTTTAGAATCCGATTTGTGATATTTCTTTCTTTTCTTTTTTTAATCGGTATCACTCCCCAAACAAGATAGTATAGCTACTAAAACGCAAAGGGTTAAAGGGTGTGGAGGAATTAGGAACAGAAACATTAGTAACTAGATTAAAATCCTCCCAATCGAGCGGCATTTAATCTAGCTCCTGCGGTGGACTCTTGATTGGACCTTCGTCACAATACGTAAGGAGGAGTAGATGCGATAGGTAACAATAAACTACTAATGAACTCAAAATTGATCGCTGCATTTAAGTATTGCGTTAATATTTAAGCTTACCTTTTAAAAGTTCAACGATAATTCTTCTGCTGCCAATTAATTTAAAGATAATTTTATGTGCGTAGGTCCTTACTTTCCGTAAAAATAATTATTTTTATTTCATGGGTGACTTTCGCTGGATTTCGCAATTAATTTCGATTATTCCCAAATTTATTTCCAATTTAAAAAACTTATTATACAAAAAAATTCGTCGCAAAAAATCAGGTAAAAATACGCCAAAAACAACCGCAGTAATGAAAACTTAGCTATCCAAAATTTCAGGAATTCATGGAGTCATCTTGATTGCAAAATGGGCTACGATATGTTGGACTACGGCCTCTAGGAGTAAGGCTGAAAAAGTGTGACACTAATATTTGCATTTATTATATAGACGAGCAGAAAGAGAGAAGAGTAATGAGGAGCGATTGATATTTTATTTAAATTTTTGTAGATTAAAGTTGGCTGGAAAGCATGCCACCGGAAGGGAGTTCCACAAGCGAGAAGTGCGAGAAAAGAAACTGTTAGCATCGAACTTCGGCTACATCTAGCCAGCTCGACTGTAAATTGTTGAGATCTTGATACCACTCTGATACTACGCTTAAATTCATAAAGTCTTGGTACCATAGCGAAAAGCTCATCCAAACAATTACCATGAAAGTCTTTATAGAAAAAAGCACAAAAGATTTTCATTCTCTTCAGTCCCAGTCCTCCACCTGCATCTTAGTGTCATTATCGCCTTGCTTGGGGCGAATTAATTAAAAAAAAATTCACAAATACTTTGAGGACAAAGTTAAGCTAATTTTAGAATCTAAATTACATTTAATTAAAAAATTTAATTTAAAATGTCTTTGTTCAAAATCTCCGCGAATTAGGAAGGCTGTAGTTAGAGAGAGCATCGAAGGAATTGAAGACTAAAGAAGGAAGACTAGGGAAGGCAAAGAAGAGCTTTATTTGATAGTCATACAGAGAACGGAAAAAAAACTTGAATAAATCGACTACTCCTCAAATCAATATTTATTTCTATAGTATATACAAAATGTGGCACAAGGCCAAAGTGGGAAAAAGGGCGGTATTCTTCTGTCTTAACATTAAACTTAGCTAGCCACAATCACTGACCCAAATATACAATATTTCTAACACCAAAACAACGCATTCTTACTTACCATTCTTATTACATTCGCCATAATACCTCAGTGTCTCTAACTAGTCCTAACTAGTCCCCATATGTACAATTATTGACTGAGGGTGGGGAAATATCAATATAAAATTAAACCCCATTGTGTATTTACATGTTGAATAAAAAAAACTATTTTCAAGAAGCTAAATAAAATAGTGTTAGTAATAAAACTTCCACAATCTTTAATTGTGGCAGAAACATCAGTTAACTGGACGAAATCAATGGGAACCTTTAATAATATACAACACTCATTTGTTCAAACCACTCACTCAAAGAGGCACTCATTCAAACACAACAATTACGAAACACATCCCCGAAAACAAAAGGCATCTACCAGAGAATTGACGTCTCTGGACACCTAACGGGGGAGGGGAGGGTCATTAAACTAAAGAAAGATGATATAGAAATAAAAGGGAGCCAATGATCATATATCCATTAAGTTAACTCAAAAGAAGAAACTAAAAGAAAACGTTCAACACAGCGCAATTTCCTAATGCTTAACCGGCATCAAAGTGCCACTCTGTTGGCTCCTCTTACTCGACACAAACGCGCAAATTCTGCGCCCCTGAAATGAAAGAAGGCGTAACCTAAGGTCTCCACCGACCCATCACAGCGAACTCAATTTGGAGATTTCTCCAAATCCGCCGAACAAATTTTTTGCCGACCCAGAGGGCCCTACAGACCACCAGCCCGAGTCATTTCAACCCGGGCTCCCAAAGCCATATTGAGTGAGTCTCCTGCTTCGTAAGACCGAGCTCATCAATCAGATCATCTCGTATGGATCCTCTAACACATGATATAAAGCCTTCAAGACGACGTCTGAACGTTGAAGAGGCCATCCGACGCCCGTAACGAGTGCACATTTCTCAGGGATGGGAAGATCTTAAAGGGGTCTACCTTCCAGAATTCGCTCTCTTAATCCAAATCGCGACAAATTTGTTCTAGGAACGCGATGCGAAGCGTATGTTGACGAGTCTCAACGCTAGATCTGTTACCTTCGCCTTCAGAAGGGCGGAGGTGACAGATCTCCCGAGGTATTTTAGCGGACTTGAATCCCTACAAGAACAACAACAAAAGCCTTACTAATGAAGTGGCGAAGATCTTGGCTAAAATCTTTAACTCTGTATTGAACATCGTTAAAGACCGAAAGTTACCTATCCCATCCCCACCGTTTTTGTCCTTGTGAAGCAACTTGATTACACCCCAGGTGAATCTTTGAGGTATAGACTCCTGCTTCAACCAGTTACTAAAAATCAGTGCCAACAAAAGAACGAAAACGAACGACTGCCTTAAAGTTCGTAGAGTAGACCATCTAATCCCGGAGATTTTTCCCTACCAAACTGCATCAGAGCTTCCCAGATTTCTAACACGGTGATAGGCCCCTCACACCCAGTCGCTTCAGCTGCCTCGACGCAAGGAAATTCGGCTAAGTAGGCGTCGAACTGAGACGTACTCAGACCGGGCTCCCTGGTGAACAGATCCTGCAAGTAGTCACGAAAAGCCTCACATATGCCCGCGTTTGTCGTCAGGGTCCCATTATCTGGCAATGTGACGCACGCGATATGCCGACTGGATGCATTCCTAACTTCCTCTGCACGCAATTTCAATTTTTTGGAATTTGATTCATTATAAAATGCTAATGGTGGAAACATTTCAAAAGCATTGTTCGCTTCATCCACCATGTCCCAAATCTGTTGGCCACCCTGGCCAGATCTATTGACCATCCTGGCCAGATATTATGTTAATAGTCTTTCGGCCTTGGGGAAATTTCTCGGGTTTTCAATGTCTAAACAATTTAGCGATTTGAAATTAATTTATAATGTCATGTCTTTAATTTTTCTCGTTTGAGTTAATGCCCTATCTTCTTGATCTTTTTAACCCAGCACAAGTCTTCCCCTGTGCTATAAATAGGTTTAGTTTTTCTTATTTATTGATTCAGTGGACTCAGGTGATGAACTTCTTTGTTGTTTTGAGTTTTCGGAATTTTTTTTTTTTTAAAGTTTTGACAGGGGATGTATTAGAGGTATTGCTAGTGGTAGGTTTTTCCTTGGATGATGATTTGGGAATGGGGACCTCCTTTAAAGTGGTCATTTTAGAAGAAGTGGGAGCTAGGGATCTCACCACTGGAGAAGAAGACGAAGCCGATGAAGAAGGGCCAAATTTTTTAGGGAGACGTTTTTTTTTTTTAGTGCCTCTTTTCGCTTCTGTAATTTCTCGGCTTTTAAATAATGGTTCGTATTTTAATTTTTGTTGTCTAAGATGCTCTGTGTAGCTGGTCGGGGAATCGGCCTTAGAACTGGTAGAAGGAGTGGGATTGTCTATGTCATTACCTGTGGAACGAGATTCCGCTACCCGGAGCTTCCCTCTAGCCCTGCCAACGACCTGTCATTCCCCCTTTTCCTTCTCCGCAACCACACGAAAGGCTTTTCTGAGAATGGGAGCTGTGAGACGGGCCCAACCAGGGGTTTTAACACACCAGTACTAGTCGCTGGCATGCCCATTACAGGCTTGACGGAAACCACAGACTCGACCAGAGGAGGATTTGGGTCGGCGGGGGCCAGAACTCCAGAAGCCTTCTTCTCTGGGCAGGAAGAAGAGAGGTGACCAGTCTCTCTGCACTTCCAGCAAGTTGGTCTACGGCCGGTTACGATAATAGGCATTTTCTGGTTCTCTACATTTAGTCAGTTGGGGATAGAGACGATAGCCTTATGATCTATCATCAGCTCGATGCTCCATATCCCAGTCAGTTCGTCAGAGGAAGCACTAAGTATCTGTCCGAATTGGCACAGATATGCGTCCCAGTGCTCCCCGACGATCTGTGGAGGGACCTCGTATACCGATATATTGGTCTTATGACTTGCCTCATATTCTGTTCTCAAAATAAGGTCTTTGGTTATTGGCTGGTTGCGGCTTCGCAGTCGGCAGACGTGAGTAGCAGTACGTCCCACTTGAAAAACCCTTTTCCTTTAATGACTCTCTGTAGTTTAACCCCCAGGGACGTCAACGATTTTATAACAGTATCTTTTGTGGAGCAACAAATTTTGCACGAACGCTTGTCCTCCATAAAGACTGACTTAATTCTTTTTTCAACTTTCTGCACTTCATCGTGATTTGTCAGGGGCTCATCTTCTGTGACAAGATGTGTGTAGCTCTTGGCTTTCTCCAGGAACTCCGTAATTTGATTATGCATTTCAGAGAGATCTTCCAGCAAGAGGGCGTCTTCTGACCCCTACGTTTTTTGTTTTTGTTCTTTGCTCCTGTAGTATTTGTTATCTCCACTGAATTTTGGCTTTTTTCCTTTTTTTAAAAATAAGACAAAAATAAAGATAGAAATGAATCAAACTTATAAAAGAGGAGACAGGATAAATATAGAAAAATGCCCTTTTTTAATTACAACAGCAAAAAACAGGGAAACAAAATATTGCAAATATTGAAACACGTAAAAATAATAAGTCATACGATTTAAACCAAAGTGGCCGACGTTAAACGAAAAAAAAAGTCTTGCCAAGAAAAATAAAGAAACTACAAATAAGACAACAGAAAGATAGACAGAAAAATAAAACACAGAAGCTATGAGAACTATTTGCTCAGGACGACAAAACAAATAAACAACAAAATATAAAGATAGACAAAAGTGCTAAAAAAGAGTAAATTGAAATTAATGGAATAGAAAATAAACAGAACAAATAAGTTCAATATAAATAAAAAAAAGATAAAGTAAATCAAGAGGCCTAATAAAAAATAGGCGCAAAACAAAGATAAAATAAGAATTGGGGAGAGTGAAAAAAGAGGAAAATTCAAAACTTTAGTTAGAAAATAACCAACAAAAGAACGTAAGAAAATTAAATTTTTAAAACTTAACGTAAACTTCAAAGTGTTCAAAACAAAACTTCCAGGATTGGAGCAGCAAAAATAAAATCAGTCGCTAAGCATTTGTCAAGCTGGTCAGTGAAAAGAGAACTCTTACTACAACTCAAATCCTACTTTAATGTGGCTACTTGCCATATTTATAAATAGGAGAAGTCCATAGGGAAGAGCAGGAGGTACGCTGGATCCTACACTACTTTCATATTGGATATTGCACAAATCACTTCGGTAACGTTCTATAAATGCCAAATGCTGGAAGAAAAAGTTAAACTGCTGATACCGTAATCGATTCGTCTATGTTTTCTTCTCTCGTTTGTGGCGATTTTCTACCTTAAATGTGGCACAAGGCCAAAAGTATGGGGCTCCGAGTGAAAATCGAACTTACTACTCAGTTGTAATTTATATAGCTAGACAAGCTTGTTAACCATTACAGTACGTTGCCGTGCCCAAAATGATTTTCTAAACGTAGCTTAGATGTGGCACAAGACCGAAAGTACAGGGCACCCAGTGAGGATCGACCTCACTGCCCATTCGTAATTGATATAGCTAGACAAGCTTGCTAACCATTACGCGATGGTGAAGTGCCCTAAGCGTAACTTAGATGTGGCACAAAACGGAATGTATGGCAGAACCGGAAGCGGGTCGTACTCCTTTCTTTTATGTATGTTTTCTTTTTCTCATTAAGACCAAATGGTGTTTCTGATGTATGTAATTTTCTTCCGTCTTTCCTCGCCATCAAAACAATCGTCTATTATTTATCTGGGGTAATGGCAAGGCATAGTGAATATGTGAAGCGAGAAACACGTAGAATTATAATATGATAACATATTTACTCTATTTCTCTTTCTTTTTAGCCCACAAGTGTGAAAACATTCACCAGCTCACTAGTACGAGAAAGAAAACGTATTTCACAACACCGGATTTCTCTGTTTCAGCGAAAAGGTAAAATTCCGTTTCTTATTGCTTCGTTGGATCGCTGTAAAGGTTCATTATGGAGAGAACAGGGATGTTTTGATTGATTTGTTTGTTTAACGACATATCAACACCTTTATGGGTCATTTAGTGGCGAAATGTAATTTTATTGGGAGCTTTAAATTAATAAAAATATGATATACGTTATTCTGCTTTCACAATTTTATACATGGTAGACGATACTCAGCTTTTGTGCATATACATGTTTGTGTGGATATAATTATTAGAGGCGGTGATGTGTGTTTTATGTAGTAGTTTTGTTGAAGTTATATTTTGGAATACAGTTTGATTTCTTTAAGAAATTGTAGGATATTCTATGGATTAATGTCACGCAAGAGTTCTTTCATGTTGGTTGTTTGGTTGGCTGATTCATTTTGTTTGGCGGCATATCAAGCTCGATGGTTTATTTAATGCTGAAATCTAAAAATTTGGTACATAATTTTATGATTCAACTACAGATATTTTCTACATAAATTTATAATTTCAGAGTAAAAGTATTTTTAGATATATGTTTTGTTATTCATAAAATCTATTATTGGTAATTTTACGATAAAAATGTACTGTTGAGTTTATTGGAGGGTGGGATCAATATTAGCCCATAGCTGGAACCCTAACAGGTGCTACCCACTGGGATCTGGAAACACCACTAATTAAGAGATGGTTCCACGCTGATCAAAACTTCCAATCTCACGGTCAGAGGCCTTGCTGCCGGATGTAGTTTATCGTCTTTGATTTTTTTTTTTTTATTTATTTGTTTTTATTTGTTTTAGTTCGCAGTGAATATAAACTGTCACAGCTTCAATTCGAACTTGTTTCGCAAATTCAGTTTTTCTCCGCATGAAATCATTGCACCAACCCGAACTGCTTAACTCCAGTATAAATAACTGACGTTTGACAAAAGCTATAGCCTTTATAATGTTGAAAGTATTGATCTCTCTTTCTCTTTCTCTCTCTCTCTCTCTCTCTCTCTCTCTCTCTCTCACTCTCTCAATGTTCCCGACTCTTTCTGTCTAACCTATCACTCAGTCATCCCACTTCCTCACCTCTTTCTCTTTCTCTATCTTCCCAACTCTGTCGCTTATATATATATATATATATATATATATATATATATATATATATATATATATATATATATATATAATAAAAGGCTTAAACACTAATATTCCATGGTCATAATTTATTCCATTGGAATCGTAAATACGATCCAAATCATCAGACCTACAAATTCAAAATGAAAACAGAAAAAACAACTCCGGAAATCAAAAACGAATTTAGAGAAAAGAGTAAGTATGAGGAGGAGGGACAGAGAGAATTCTAGGAGATGTGGGTGGGGTGGGGGAATTTAAAAAAAGAAGAGAGAAAGAAAGTCGACGGATGTCTAATGCATAAAGATACATTTTTTTATGTATGTATATTTTCCACTAATATTATCTATATATATATATATATATATATATATATATATATATATATATATATATATATATGTATTTGGGCAGCAATCCCTCTTTTATACAAGTTTTGTTTAAAACCTCTGACAAAGTACTGCGGTTAAGTTTTTATTTAATTTTATTGTGTTCTTATAATTTTCTTCTTTTATGGACACAAATTATCTAGAGATTGCCCAAATGTATTGTATGTCTGAGCGTTTTCGGCTATAATTTTAGCCATTATCAAAAGATGGTTTTAATTTTTACATTTAGCTGAATGTATGAATTGTTCTATGTATGAATCTAGAGTTATTGGAATGTTTTATTTTTCGAACACGTTCATCACATTCTGGCTGTGTTTATAGTTCATATTATTGAGTGTTGACTTTTACTTTTCTTTTTTGATTTTTCTTTTTTATATATCAAGAACAATTTTATGGGAAAGAATCGTAACAAAATGTAAAAAGTTTTCGTCAGACGCATTTCGACCTTTTGGATTTCAGCCTACATAAACATAAATGAAGTTCGATGAACTCCTAAAGGACTAAATGAGTCACACGAAAATATTTTAGATATTATCATATATATATATATATATATATATAAAACATATATGTGTCTGTGTATATAAAATATGTATATAGGTATAAAAGATATACATGTATATGAAACACATTTATATATGTATATAAAACATACATACACACATATACAGGGGTTGGACAAAAGAATTAAAACAGTTGCAAAAGCCACTCCTATATTTCAAAGATTTATTATATTAAGAACTTTAACTAAATTTTCGTAATTCCAGGTTATATCTATTGTAAATACGTTTATTTATCTAATTTACTGTGTTTGTCTTAATTATTTTCAGAATTTAGTAAAATATAAGCTAAATGCGTGGCCTCACCGAGTTCGAAAAAAAAATTGTTGGAGCGAGCATGGCAGGAGCCTCAATCACTAATGTTGCCGAACTATTGGGTTTTTCAAGAGCTACCATATCAAGAATGCTGATGCAATTCGAAAAACAGGGCAAGACCTCTAGCAACTGTAGCAAATCGGGCTGGACTTGCAAACTTACTGACAGGGACTGACGTGCATTGAAACGCAATGTGGCAAAAATCATCGGACAAATGCGGCTGACTGCTGAGTTGAATATCCATATGAATAGTTCAGTTTCTACTAAAACTGTTCGCCGTGAGGTCCATAAGGCTGCATATCATGGAAGAGCCGCTGTGAGAAAACCTCTTCTCTCTACTCGCAACATTCAAAAGAGGTTGAAGTGGTGCAGAGATCACAATGTCTGGTCTGCAGACCAATGGAAGCAAGTCATATTTACAAACAAGTCCAGTGTTTCTCTTTTCCCAACTTCAGGGCGAGTTTATGTGTGAAGGCAGCACAAAGAAGCTTACAACCCTGACTGCCTGCCTTCTTCCAACAGTGAAGCATGGAGGTGGATCAGTGATAGTTTGGGCCGTTTATCATGGAAATGCCTCAGTCCAATAGTTGCCCTGCATGGTAGAATCAACAGCAAAGATTACCTGAACATTTTAGAACATGCTCATCCAATGACCAAGACTTTATTCCCTGATGATGACTGCATCTTCCAAGACGATAATGCTCCAATACATACCGCTCGAGTGGTTAAGAATTGGTATGAAGAGCATGAAAGTGAGCTAGAACACATGGAGTGGCCTCCCCAATCTCCAGATATCAATATTATTGAACATTTGTGGTGCATTTTGGAGCAGCAAGTTAGGAGCTGTTATCCTCCACCATTGTGTCGTAAAGAGCTGGAGAAGGTTTTAATGGAAGAATGACTGAAAATTCCTCTGGATGAAGTCAGGAAGCTGTATGATTCCATTCCTAGACGTGTTAAAGTCGTTCATGAGGCTAAAGGAGGACCAACTCCATATTAAATAAATTTTCTTTGAATTTAACATTAAGTTCTACCTGGATTCTATCCTCTTGGAATTATTATTTTTATACAAATATATATATATGTATGTATGTATGTATGTATGTATGTATGTATGTATATTTATATATTTTAGATATATGATTGCATATGTATGTGTATATTTACCACTAATATTATCTATATATATACATACATATATGAAAAAATATATATGTGTGTGTGTGTGCACTGTTTTAAATTAAACAGTATTAAATACAATTCGCGGAGTGAATATTCGAGGAATCGAATTTGTATCCTATACGGAAACGGTTAATTAGAATTTAATTAAAAACATCGCAATTACCCAGAGAAGTTGTATCCATATATTTAACCTATAAACAGAAAATATATTAAAATATTTGTCAGATTTCATACACACGCATATATATGTGTGTATGTATTTTATATATATATATATATATATATATATATATATATATATATATATATATGTGAAACAACGAAAAGAATATAAATTCAAACGTTCATAACATCAATTTAAAAAGGCTTCAATACTCGAAGTAGACCAATAAATATTTATTATAAACTATTACAATAGAACATGCAAAGTACCACGTCAAGATTTAATCTTACAATTTTGCTAAACTTTATAAATCAATAATCACTACTCTTATATTCTATTACCTTTAAACATTTTAATATTATCCTTAGTGGTGTATTTTTGATTAAGATATTAAATAGGTTAGTATTCGTAAATTATTGGTAGTACGTTTAGCCGTTCTAAATGTCATTGTTTGGATTGCTATATTGTAGTTATTTTTTAAGATTTTTTCTTAGATGTGGCACAAAGCCGAAAGTATGAGGCACCCAGTGAGAATCGAACTCACTACTCAGTCGTAACTGTTTTAGCGAGACAAGCTTGCTATCCATTACACCACGCCGAAAATATGAGGCACCCAGTGAGAACTGAACTCACTACTCAGTCGTAACTGTTTTAGCGAGACAAGCTTGCTAATCATTACACCACGCCGAATTGCTACATTGTATCTGTAATGTGTTTCCTAACTTGTGTTATATTTTCGTTCAATTTTGAATTTTCCATGTTAACATGTTTTCATTGGCTAAATCTTGTATCAAGAACATCTCATTTCTTATTTTCTTCTCTTTCCTTTTCATTTGTTTCTGTAAAATTTAGATATACTCCTCTCTTTCTTTTTCCTTTCTTTTCTTTCCCTTCTCTTATGTCTTTCCTTTTCCCCCTCATTTTATTGAATCTTGTTTTCTTTCCTTTCTTAATTTGCTTTTTTTTTTTCTTCTTTCATTTCCTTTTATGGATTGAATTTTTTTTTCTTTGCCTTCTATGGAAAATTTTCAAAAATGTTAAAAAGAAATGATGTTTCACAAATCGTATTTTTAAATAAAATCGTTTATTACCACCATTGTTAGCTGCCTGACGAGACGTCTTTTGGACATCGAAACAATTATGCATTTTTATCGCAGTACTTTGCATGTTCCATTGTAACAGTTTATAATAAATAAATAAATATATATATATATATATATATATATATATATATATATGCATGTATGTTTATATATATATATATATATATATATATATATATATATATATATATATATATATAAACTACAGTTGAAAAGTTTGAGACCACTCCTGGTAACTTTTGAATTGTCCTAAAAAGTAGTTATTTTGTAGTTTAAATAAGAAAAAATTTATTATATTGTACATTATTTTTTTATTAGAAATTTTATTATGATAAAAAAAAAAAAAATCACGATTAAATGTTGCTCCCGTCAAAATAGTCTCTTTTAGCCTTGAGTACTGCAGCACGAATTTTTGGCAATCGTTGCAAAAGTTTCTCAAAGTATAAGTTTGATAATTGTTTCCATTCTTTTTTTAATGGCTCCAAGACCTATTTTTCTTTTCCCTTTATACTCCTCTGTCAAGTTCCTCCCATACTAATTCTGAGGGCGTCTTCAATCTTTCGAAATATTCTCTCTCTCTCTCTCTCTCTCTCTCTCTCTCTCTCTCTCTCTCTCCGATATATATATATATATAATACAAATATAATTAAATAAATTTTGTCATTAATCTGATTGATGATAGCTTCATCATCCCGGCTCTTCATGGATCCTCCTTCAGTCGCTCTGTCCACTCCTCAGTAATTGAATACACACAGAGAGACATACAAAAATACACATACACTATATACATTCTGAAGCACTTATATATATATATATATATATATATAAGATTAAGGGTCAGAGTTGAATCAGACCAGGAAACAATAGTATTAAAAAGTGCTCAATACACTTCAGAAAAAAATAAAAGTAACGCGTAGAGCTTTAAGTTTAAAAATCAGGAGGTCAATTAAAATACGTGACCGCGGTTTCGACCTGACTGTCTCTTCGGGCGATACTTTTAAAATAACTACTTTAAGGCTTTATTTTTAAAAAAAAAAAATAAAAAAATAAACACAAAGAACCCTACATAATTATCTTTAAAAAAATAGCAGGCGTATGATAATTGAAAGAGAGGCTAAATAATAGATTCCGTTTTTCAAGCTCGATTTAATGGGCATCTAATTTTATTTCTACAGTTGCATAAATTACTAGTATTATTTTACTGCACGTTGGATTTTCTGTTATTTATGAAGAAGAATTAACAAATAAAAATGACCAAATTCAAACGTATATAGGCTGCACGAAAGGCCCTTTTCAAACGCACATGATACAATCACACATCGAGTTTTAAGCTAGCAAACCTTAGATACTCCAACAAACTTGGCAGCCACATGTGGAATTTAAAAGAAAAAAATGACAATCACTCAGTCATAAGGTGGACAATTTCATAAAAGGTAAAAACTTAGCAGTTATACCCGCATTTGCAAACTATGACAATATGAGAAATTAGCAATTATGACATTCCCAGACCCCAAAAATCTTTTAAACCAAAAATTAGAAATAGAGAGTAAATGTACCATTCAATAGCATAAATATGCTTCTCAGTTTTCTGAAATTAAACAATTGGGCATGTCCCCTAGCGGCTGACACGCTGTGTATATGTGTTCATGGGCAGTGTAATCATTCAAGTTGTACATTTAATTTCTTTATTCTTTTTCAGTTCGACATCGTGTTCTTGGCGAATAACAGCCAGTGTCCCTGGAGATGTTATTCGGCTACAAATCGTCTTTGCAGAGATTTTAAGCAAGCCCGAATGCAAGGATGCACATGTTGAAGTTTTTGATGGTAAGTCGTGCAAATGCAAATTGTAGATTTTTAGTTATTAGAGTTTTCTTTTTTGCAGCACATGCTCACGCGTTTTGAGATTCTTGTTGTATTTAGTTATTGTTGAAACTATCGAAAACATTTTTTGCCGAGATTTACAAACTCTACGTTTTGTTCAATTTCGCAAATCAATCGAATGAATTTGAATAAGTTGATCTGTTTGGAAAATATTTGATAAAAACCCTACTTCGCTGTTTAATATTTTTTTAAATTTAATTTAATTTTATAGGACTTCATAGTAAGAAAATTAGAAACTTTCTTTTTTCCCTTTTTAACAGAGAAGAATAAATTCTTAGGATTTCTTATTCTTGAGCATGCAACATACAACTGGCCATGTGTAAATATTTCTTTCTGGGGCCAAATTCCAACTTTTTGAAGTGTTTAGCCTTGTGATTTGTTTATAGTTCTCTCAAACACAGGATGAACTGGAAACTGGATTATTGTATTTATAAAAACTTAAAGAAAAGATATGCAAAAATATATTGCATTTTTATTAAATAAATATTTCTTATTTCATATGTTAAATAATAAAACTTTTAATTTTTACAAAAATATTGATGAGAATTTATTGTACTAAGCTACGCACCCTAGTAAAACCAACTGTACTTTGTACCCCACCCCTTATATATTTCTCCCAAAAATTTGGTTTCGATCGGTCAATGTATGACTATTTTAGAGCATGTGACAGATGAACGGACTAACGGATGTTACAGAGTTTTATATATAATATAGATGACTATTGTTGTTGTTTTTTTCTTCTTCTTCTCCTAGTTCTTGCGTTACGCCCTCTCATTATTTGTTTGATTGAAAATAAAGACTTGCAATAGTCTGCTTACTCACTATCCGTAAAAAAAAATATATATATATATATATATATATATATATATATATATATATATATATATATATATATTGTGGGCTGCTGGATCATGTAATTTAAATTGTGTGTATTTAGGCAGCATCTTTTCATTCATACACGTTTCATTAAATAATATAGACAAGTGTTGTCTATTTATTTTATGTAATTTTTCGTAACATCTGATATTTTTTAATATAATTATCGTTAAACGAAGAAAGAAATTATCAAAGATTGATCCATATTTTTAATATACGGACAAGACAGTGATGATAGTCTGTGATTGACATCATTGATAATGGATGTAAATTACTTAGATTATATTAAAAAAAATATGGATCAATATTGTGAATTTCTGATTTCGTTCAACGATAATGTTATTAAACTTATCAGATGTTACGAGAAAATTTACATAAAATAAATAGACAACACTTGTCTATATTATTTAATGAAACGTGTATGAATATATATATATATATATATATATATATATATATATATATATATATATATATATATATATATATCAAAGGCGCTGTTTGGTTTTATTGAAAGAAAGAAAATAAAACCTCTTGTGTTTAACGTCTACTTCACTTAAATGGAACACCTATATTTGTACCCTCTTACTTCTTTAAATAATGGCATATATTCAATCTTATGACTGCCATTGTAATATTTTGTTAAGGATATTAAGATTAAACATTTAAAAAGACAATACAGGGCTTCTTTGTGTATTTTATCGTCGTGGGACACACAAACATCCTTAAGAATTAAAATTCGTTCTTAATTTTAAACAAGAAAACCGTGAAATTCTCACGTGTGTAATGTTATCTGTCTTGATCTGGCATATTAGCTTCAGTCATTTTCCTTCCACCATAACATAGACTCTCTCTCTCTTTCTCTCTCTCTCTCTCTCTCTCTCTCTCTCTCTCTCTCTTTTCTATAGATATTTTCATGGTAATTGTTCCGACGAGCTTTCATCTCTGCTAAGTCGACTTTATGAATTCATGCTTAATACTAGATTAGCAGCTAGGGTTCATCATTTTACTGTTTAAATGGTTGCATGTAACCGTAAGTTCTATTCTGATAGTTTCTTCTGTTGCATTTACTTGGATCTGCAGTCACCTGACGATAGCCGGAGTGCATAACGGTCAAAACAATGAGCCGAATATAAATAATGATATCTCCTTATTCCAGAAATTCAGTGTCCTGGGTATAACGATAAACTACATCCGGCAGCATGGCCTCTGATAGTGGGTGGGGTTGAGGAGCGTGGAACCACCTCTTAATTGCTGTTGTTTCCAGCTTCACCCTAACCCAGTCCTGTTAGGGTCCCAGCTACGGGAAAATAGTTAACCCTCAAACTGGGGTCAACACATTATGAAAGTATAAAAATAGATTTTTATAGTAAAAATATCAGCAATACATTTTTGAAAAAAAAATATTACTAATTTTGTTACGATACACCCCAACTGGTCCACAGGATCGCTTCATCAGTGAGGTGTTATTGATTTGGGGTCATAACAAGTTTAGGGTCTTTCAATATCAAACCTGTTCGCCCAAGCGACCCCACCGGCACAAAATATATTCCGACAGAGCGATCCCGAGGCAAATGACCACCAAGCAACGAAGAGATCATATAAACAATTGCAAGTGCTGATTTGGAATAGAAATTGACCAATGGGAAACGACTTACGTCACTTCCGTCTCAGCCACGACGAAACAAGAGAACAAACTGAATACATTTTTTTTTAAATATTACCAGAAATACGTTTTTGAAAAAGAAAATATACCAACAATACATTTGACTCTCCGCAAAAACCCTCTTGACAAAAATATATCAATGAAATCTGATCTACAAACTGATTTCGCACATAGAATACATATTTTATTCATACGAACCTATCCTAAAAATCTTGTCGGCATTAAATAATCCATTGAGGTGTTTATATACCGTAAAACAAAATAGACCAGACCAAAAATTCAGACAGATGTTAGCGTTTTGGTCATTGGTATGGTTATTATTGATTAAATACGACCACAGAGACACGGAGAAAATACAGTTGTTCGAAGCATGGTTACAACAAATCTTTAATTTGTAACGAAAAGAAAAGAAGGCGCAATATATGCGAGTGACGATAATGCGTATAATAACGTTAATCGCAATAAAATGAGTTATCTATATGTTTGCAGAATTCATTGTTAGAGTAGAAACAAACTTGAGGATATTATCAAGCAAGTCTTTTGTCAACATTCTGTATTTTTTCTTCGTTCTTTTTTTTTTCCTCTCCAGGTTTTGATGAGTTTGCTCCATCGTTGGGAAAGTTTTGTGGCATCGACGAACCTTCGTTTATCTCCACATCAGGTGAAATGTTTCTGAGACTTCGAGGCATTATTCTCGGTGCAACTCGATTTACGGCTGTTTTCCATTCAGAACCACCAGGCAAGTAGAGAAGCCATTTATTTCTTTGTCCACGTACACCAGGAATATGTGACGCTTAACACCTCCAGGCATCTCGGTTACACTCACTTTCCCACCGGCCTTTTCTATAAACATTTTCATGGTAATTTTTCTGATGAGCTTCGGCACCTCATCTTTACTAATTTAAGCGCTGTACTAGATTGGCAGTTAGGTCTCATCATTTTACAGTTGAAATTGTTAGACGTAAGTGTAACTTCTATGGTAATAGTTTCTTCTCTCGAACTTCTCTCTTGTACAACTCTCTTGTGACTCTTTGCTTTCCAGTCACCTTTGATCTTCAAAAATTTAAATGCAATGCTAGTCTTTATCTTTTTTCTTCTTAATTCCTATTTTTTATTATTATTTTCTTTCCTTTATAATGCTTTTCTTTTTCTCATATTCTTTCATACTCTTTGTGTCTTAAGGGCTTTATTGAAATTATTGAAAAATAAAACATCACTGTCTTGAACGACAGCCTCTTACTTGTTTAGACACGTATGTGAAAAAGGAATAAGGATTTTAAGAAAAAATATTTTCTACTGTTTTCCCTCGTCTTATCGAGTGTCTTGCTGATAAGCCATGCTGAAACGTGGCCTCTTATGAAGACCCTTGCTTTCCTCGTCCATGTCTTCGACCCCCGCTCCCTCAGGACCATCGATAGGGAGGTTGCACTTGTCCTATCATGTGTCCAACGAGGAGCTCCGGCGGAGGACAGGACGGATACATTCCTCAAACCATCGCTCAGCGCCATGTTCGTTGGCTCGATTACATCGTGCAAAGACCTGATTACCATCCAACTAGAGGCATACACCCATTTCGTCCATTCCTTTTGCTCTATCTCTCCATTAAAAAAGTTAATAGCTCTAAATAATAATACCTCGGTCATCAAATCACAGACTCAACATAAGCTTTCTTCCATGGAGGTCAGTTTTTGGAGTCAGTTGAGATTTATCCATGTCAATTTTAACGTTGCATTGTCGTATGTTAGCGGACCCGAAATATATTCTCATACGTGGAAATTAAAAATAACACTATTTATTAAGAGGAAATTTAAATTTTTATTTTAATGTACTGTTACGTTTACTAAGTGGGAATATTAAGTTGAGTTATTATTATTTACATGCAGACAGTTGTTCTCTGTTTTGTTGTAAACTCCGACCTAATCAGATGTTTTCAATCCAGACAAACTACAGGTAATTGACATACACCTGATGAAGGTCGGAGAACACAACGACTGAAACGTTATAATAACATCAAATACGATTGATTGATCGATCGATTCGTTTTATGCGGTTTATCAGCCCATTACAAGTTTTTTAAAGCCAGAAAAAATTTTTCAGATTAAGAATTTTTTGTGAGAGAGAGAATAATGTTTTAGTAATGCAAGTTTTAATTAACCCATACCTGGAGAGAGAAAACGGGCATTCATACCTTTTCCAAGAGTATTTGCGCGTAAGTGAATATAACCAACCCGTCCGGAATTTGAAATCGGCGCTCCGATTAACAATTTGTAGTCTTGATAGAGTTCAAAAGCGTCTCCGAGTCCTTGTTGCAGGAGAATTATCTCCCACCCGCCAACCTCTCTATCACAGGCGGGATGTGACGAGTCTTTCACTGCTCTGTAACTACTTCCAGGGAAAGGGTTCGGACGAATTACATTCCTTGGTTCCGCTAGGTCTAACCTTTACGGCTACGACGCGCCATGTCACTTAGATTATAGCAAACCACCCACATTCCCTCCGTATTCCATTGGTGAGAAGTAAGTTCCACTCAAACAGCTTCTTCCCGCGAACCTCTGCTCTGTGGAACAGACTTTCAAGAGGATGTTTCTTCGATAATTACAATCTTAACCTGTTCAAGTCTAGAGTCAACCGTTATCTTCCCCTATAAGCTGTCTCTTAACGTAACCCTTTGCTTCGAGTGGCCCTAGGGTATTGTACAGGGTGAACCTTACATTAAAAAAAAATCCAAACTTTCAACATCTGGTATTATCTAGTTGTCACCAATCTAGGTATTATGAAGTTGTCACGAATCTCGGTATTATGAAGTTGTCACCAATCTCGGTATTATGAAGTTGTCACCAATCTAGGTATTATGAAGTTGTCACCAATCTAGGTATTATCTAGTTGTCACCAATCTAGGTATTATGAAGTTGTCACCAATCTAGGTATTATCGAGTTGTCACCAATCTAGGTATTATGAAGTTGTCACCAATCTAGGTATTATGAAGTTGTCACCAATCTAGGTATTATCTAGTTGTTACCAATCTAGGTATTATGAAGTTGTCACCAATCTAGGTATTATCTATTATGAAGTTGTCACCAATCTAGGTATCATCTAGTTGTCACCAATCTAGGTATTATGAAGTTGTCACCAATCTAGGTATTATCTAGTTGTCACCAATCTAGGTATTATAGGTAGTTGTCACCAATCTCGGTATTATGAAGTTGTCACCAATCTAGGTATTATGAAGTTGTCACCAATCTCGGTATTCTGAAGTTGTCACCAATCTAGGTATCATCTAGTTGTCACCAATCTAGGTATTATGAAGTTGTCACCAATCTAGGTATTATCTAGTTGTCACCAATCTCGGTATTATGAAGTTGTCACCAAACTCGGTATTCTGAAGTTGTCACCAATCTCGGTATTATGAAGTTGTCACCAATCTAGGTATTATGAAGTTGTCACCAATCTAGGTATTATCTAGTTGTCACCAATCTCGGTATTATGAAGTTGTCACCAATCTCGGTATTATGAAGTTGTCACCAATCTCGGTATTATGAAGTTGTCACCAATCTAGGTATTAACCAATTTCAACGTCTGTCGGCGTACATGGACCGATCTTTCAATATGAAGTGGCCATAAACTTAACATCAAGTAAGAGGACAATTGTCATCGTGTAAAGACAGTAAATAATGATAAGTCATCCCAGAAATTCAAACCTAATAAGTAATTCCCAATTTTGGGATCCAATTGAAATAACGAATGCATCATCTTAACAACATTCGTCAATAGATTTACAAAAATTACTTATGACTCAACACAAGCTCTTGGCGAGCGTGAAAATACATTAAAACAAAAAATTAGATTTTTTCTGCATAAATGGTGTTATCTCTTACTGACAAAATATAATTTTCATTTAAGTAAAATTCGAACGTACGTCAGTTACCGTTAATTACATAAACGTCTTGGGCAATGATTTACTTTTTTCACCACAAGTCATCTTCTTCTATGTGCAGTCCCCCTTCAGGACGTTGGCGATCATGGCTCTCCCCAACTTCCTGTTCTTTGTAGCTCTTAGGAAATTTTATCTTTTTATTATCTCTCCTATACTCTATTCTGCCATCCATTTACACAACTCATTCTTCTTTTTCTATGTACCGTGTTCCTTCGTTGATGATCATGGCTCTCCCCAACTTCCTGTTCTTTGTAGCGCTTAGTAAATTTTATCTTTTTCGTATCTCTCCTAATCCCTTTTCTGCCATCTATTTACACAAACTCGTTAGGTAGTTCATGCGCTGTTTTCCTCTATCCCTCTTGCCTTCAATATATCCTGTGTGTGTCAAATTTTCCAAGCCCTTTTTTCTCATTATGTGCCCTAGAAATATCATCGCTCTCTTTCTGATGTTAAATATAAGTGTTTTTGTTTCCATTTTCTCTAAAACTTCGTAGTTGCTCATATGCCCAGCCCAATGTATTTTCGGATTCCTTCTATAGAACGATATTTCTGTTGCTTCAAATTTTTTCTTTATCTGTGGTGAGATCGTCCATCATTCTCTGCTATATAGAAAACCAATATTACGTAACAGTTCAGTACTTTTTTCTTTGTTTCTAACTAGATTTTCCTGTTTCTTAATACTTTGCTTAACTTTTTGAAGTCATCTTTCGCTAGTCCAATGAACCTTCTGATTTCGATGTCATATGTTCTATGTTTCTATTTTGCATTTCAGACTCCGGGGAAATCTGTCCGGACGGTGTCGTCCTGGTGAATGCTACAACAACAGAACAATTCTTTAATGTAACACCGTCAAAATCTCAGACAGCAAGGTAGGTATTCTAATACGCTAGATTTATCTTAGCAAAAGGCCACTAGCTATGGCACTCAGTGAGGAGCAAACTAATTACATTTATATTTCTGTGATCAGGAATAATTACCTTTATCTCTGGGACGTTTTCATAATTGTTAACGATTGTGGCAGGGTGTGATCACCCACCTTTGTCACTGCACTCAATTACAAGTGGCTGGCTTGCTGCTCCAGATATAACCGGATGAAAAATGACAATTTACAATGCTCATAACTCACATTTCATTATCTCCATATTTTTGTAAATGTCTCTCCCACCAATAAAAGATTCCTTGTCGGAAATTCTTTAATAATGATAATTATCAAAATTGCAGACAATTATCATAGAAATGAGAGATCTGGTTTCTTTCTAGTCCTCAGATTCAAATTAATTTCACCCTCGCTAGTTTTCAAAGAAATATTGTGACCACACATGTGGTGTTAGGATCCCTGCTATGGGCAAACACTATGAAAGTGTAAAAATAGGTTTTCATAATAAAAATACCAGCAACATATTGTTTTAAACAAAAAAATCTTACCACCAATACATTAAAAAAAAATTACCAGCAATACATTTTGGGGAAAAACAATATTACCTGCAATATATTTTTTGGGAAAAAACTATTACCTGCAATACATTTGACTCTCGACAAAAAAAAAAAAACTCTTTACCAAAAATACGTCAATGAACCCTAATCTACAAACTGATTTCTTACAAAGAATACATATTCCATTCATACGAACCTATCCTAAAAATCTTGTCACTATTAAATAACTCTCTGCGGTTTATATGCTGTAAAACAAAATAAATCAAGCCAAACCTAAAATACATTAATGAAACCAGACTCTCGACATAAATCCTCTTTACAAAGAATAAATATTCTATTCATACGAATCTATTGTAAAAATTTTGTCGGTATTAAATAACCCACTGAGATTGATATGCCATAAAACAAAATAAACCAAACCAAACCACTCAGGTGGAGTTAATAAAAAAATATATATCCAAGTACCACCTATTAGCAATCCAACCCAGTTCTGTCCGAAACTGATATCGTCACACTTGAAAATATATTAATCACAATTTGTCAGTTATCAACATAACTTCTTATTTCTTTCTTTCAATTTCTGGCCCAGGGTTCGTGCCCTGCTGAGACCAGAGTTGAATTTGAGAAACCATTTTTTGTTTATTTAAATTTTAATTCTCAAATGCCATTTTTTTTACATTTCTATTCATGAAACTTCGATTTCAGGGTTGTTACCCGATGCGAAATCAATCATATGACTTTTGCAAAAACAATTATCAAACTTTTAAAGATATCCATAGGTTGATTAGTTATGTTGATAGTCTTTATTTTATTTTTATTTTATATTAAATGGACTTACTGCCTATTTAATGTCGAAATTATACGGGAGTGTATAGTCAATCAATGGTTATGTTTATACTTGAGTCAATAGGCAAACATTAATTAGGTTTCTCTTTTTGTTTGTCGGTTGAGTTGTATCTATCCGTAAAAATTGGCTGTATTGAGTCTATTGGGAAACATTGGTGTAGTTAATACCTGTGCCTATAGGTAAATTACTATATAATAATAATAATAATAGAGGAATTAGGCTGGCAGCTGATTTCGCCTCTGATTTAGCTAACGTCTCAATGGTGGGAAAACTTGCTTGTAACATTCACAACCTCTAAAGCCAATCTAGTAATTAGAAACTGAATTTCCGCCTACCATGTTGCAGGGTTATTCTCTCAGAAACGATCCTTAAACGTCTATCACCATAACACGTATATATACTGTAAATTGCGTCGTACAAGTCGACCTCAAGATTTTTGCTCAAAATTCTAAGTTAGACCTATACCTGCTGTATAGGTTGACCACCATTCATACGGTAGGCTATCAGTGGCCCAAAACTTAGGCCTACAGTATACGATAACCTTTGCCAAAACTACATAAGGTCACAACACTTACCTGTATATTGAGACACTTATCGTAATATCTTTTTATATGTGTTGTATAGTAAATAATCTACAACACACATCGGTAGGTACCGTATATTGTATTGGTATAACTTAGTGGACATTTAAAATTTGTCAGGTCTACTGATAAACACACCTCAACTCCTATAAAACATTAAGACCGTAGATTACACATCATACCAGGTTGTTTTTTTTTTATTAAACTACTGCTAAGTATCGTATGTTATTGTAAAACACAGTATCACTCATCCCCCATTTGCCATTTGCATCAATGATGTAAACCAAAAAACTGACGCCACCAAACTCTACGGATAGAATACTGAATTTGTGCTACTATTTCATTATTTTATATTAAATTCTGTTATTAGACCAGATATATTCACCAAACACAAGTTTTAGTAGGATCTATTTGTGGCAGCCTGCTGGAGATTGGTTAAGTGGTATTCTGTAATTGTTAGGAGTGTTGTCCCACTTGTCTACAACACGGTGATAAAGGTTTTGCATTTTATATGTATATAAGTCGATACGTAAGCCATATAAGTCGATCCCTTGTTTTGAAAATATTTTTAGGTTTGAAAACTCGACTTGTGCGCCGCAGTTTACGGTATTTGATTTTCTTTCAGTGACCTTCCCATACGCGAAATTAAAAATATAAAATGACGACAATTTATACATCGCACCCTATATATTCACAAAACACAAATTTTACTGGGATATATTTATGGCACCTTGCTGGAGGTACGGTAAATGGTGTACAGTGATTCTTAAGGTTTGAAATTTTAATTTTCGGGACACCCTTTGTTTTTGTTTTTAATTTACATTTTTTTACCAGTATTTATATTTATATATATATATATTAAAATTTGTTATATATATATATATATATATAAAAGATCAGGTGTATTTCGATACATGACTGACGAGGCAGAATATTTTTCCTGCTGTAGGTTGCCATTACTTTCTGTGGTAGAGTGGTTGCCAATCAAGGCTTAAGAATCCAGTCTGTCTTGCTATTCAACCCATAACTAGGGAGAGAAAAGATGGCTTCCTAGCTTTCTGAGTGACATTTGTGCGTAAGAATTCGAACTTGGCTCTCTGAGTTCTTATTCCAAACCGTTATCCATTACACCATAAAACACATATCGGTTGTAACGGCAAAATTGTCCAAATCGTGTAACAGCAAAATTGTCCAATTGCTAGATTAAACTTTGAACTGTTGTATCTTAGTATTGATTAAAGGTATCTTACTGGAATTCTCGAAGGTTTTTATAACGTTATTGGACTCTACTCTGAGCAATAAGAATGTATAATTACTCCCCAAGCTTAACAGAAGAATCAAAATGAAATCGATCATAAACGAAAATGACATTTTCGTCATTAATTAATTATAGCTAAGGATCGGAAGCTCATGAAGAGTTGAAATTAAGTTCAAATACATATATATTATTCCAGGACCATTTTCCAACTTATTCAAGATGATTGTCGCCCTATCTAACCTCTTAACTTTCTGTCCTGGAGTAATATACCTCACAAGTTTCACATACGATTTCATTTTTAAGTCTTTTTTCACTGCTCTTTGGACTGTCATAAGTGAAACTCCTCTCTCACGTGCCAAACGTGTTATGGATTTTCCTTAACATCGAATTGAAAATCGTCTACGTGGCGTTCTTGATTATGAATTGCTTTCCACTCTGAGTTTTAGGGTAAATGAGAAAAATATACTATTAAGCAGAGAGAACAATGAAAGAACAAGAATTAAGAAGACAGAATATAACGATTAACATTGCACTTAAATTCTGGAAGATCAACGTTGACTGAAAAGCAAAAAACCGGAAGAGAGTTCCACAAGCGAGAAGTGCGACAGAAGAAACTATTAGCATAGAACTTACGGTTACATTTCAACTGTAAAATGATGGGAAGTTATGGGTATAACAAATATCTCAAGGAGTTCAAGATTCTTGCCTTGCATAGTTCATTACTCCTGGAAATGTCCTCACAGTATATATCATTTTAAAAAAACGTAAGATTCTGTAGAACCACATTCAAATTTCTTTATCTGTGAAGCGATTGTCTAGCATTCACTGCCATGTAGGAGGACTGATATTACGGAGCAGTTTTGCACTCTTTCTTTGTTTCAAACGAAATTTTTCTGTTTTTTAATTACTTTGCTTAGCTTTTGGAAGTCATCTTTCACTATTCCAGTGCGCCATCGGATGTCGGTGTTACATTTTCCGTCTTCTGTTCAAACATTTACCAAATGTTTAAGTTGTCGTACTTGTTTGATTTTGGTCACCTATTTGTAATTTGCGTCTTTGGCTGTTCCATTTGATAACAAAATTCATTCAATTTATAAAAGAATTCTTTTTTTTATTTCCAGTTCAAAACTTTGCCGTTGGCAGATCACTGGCGGGGAAGCAAACGACACGATTCTGCTCCAATTTCTCCTTGCCAACTTCGGTCAGAAAAGTTCAGACTGTATGTCTGAATATATATCCGTCCATGAAGGTAAAGAAATAAAGCATGTCTAAGAGGACATAAGAATCGACGCTTCGGTATGACTGTCAGTTTCACACTGGTCTGAAGATCGCACCATGTACTGTTGATTCTAATGACCATAGTGTCTATAGCTATAAAGTGTCTTCGCGTTTTGTTCCAAGAAGGAACTTCTTCAGACTAATAATGATTTAATTTATTTATTTTATTAATCATATAAAAAAAGGAAATAGAAATACGACAAACGTTGATTACAGTTTATATGGAAACTTACTACTTTTGAATTTAGATTTTGATACCTCGTATATCTCGAGGTTAAATTTACCTCATATCATTTAGTTCTTAAACATTCCACATTATATTAATAGTAATTTAATTAGGAGTGAGATATATTTAATGGTCCTGGAAGTAGTTTTACTATAGCGGAATCTGAAATTAATCTATTTTCAATATATTTTCACTTTAATATATATTTTCTGTCACCAGAATCCACAATTCTTATATTTACACTCGCTCTATCCCCGATGTTAAGAACTTTTATCCAATAAATACAGCATATCTTAAAACTATATGTATTTTATCATATATATATATATATATATATATATATATATATATATATATATATATATATGAGTGGACACTGAGGTCAACACCGAACAGTAACACTCCGTTTCATGTTTGAATGCAACCTTCAAAAAATGTGTGTTGAGTTTTGGTTCGACTATTTATATATGCTGGCCAATAGTTCATTATGGTCTATTACATTATTGTTGTATAGTAGCTAGCACCCCTTCAGCACTCTACCAGATTGCCTGCCTCATAGCCTTAAATAGTCTACGTTTAAGAAATTCAGCAGTTGATTAACAAGTTGATACTAAGCTGATTAACACCGTTTGGCTATACAGCATTTGACCCTCCTCTATTCCTTGTAAGTTGTCTTGTTAATTGTTTTGTAACTTATTACTTTGAGTGTTTTGTATGTATCCGTTAGCACCGGATACTGGTGCTGAATAAATATATTAAGCACTCATTCTTCTCTGTGTATCATTCACCTCGATGATACAAAGGAAGGCTTGAAAACATTGAAACTCACACGATATCTTGAAGGAAAGTGGAACAGAAGGAAGCAGTAAGTAACCTACCTAACAAGATTGTGTAGATGGATAGCAGAACTGGGATGGGGATGGATAGTAAAATAAAGACAAAAATTATTAAGAGTTACAAAGGAAAGGAAGTTGTGGAGAGTCATGATCAATTATTATTATTTATTATTATTATTATTATTACATATACTTGTGTTTCTGGGTGCATTCGTAATCTGTTAACTTATTTGCTTTATTTATTCCTAATTTAGATGTTTTTGTAGGCTGATGCTACAATAAATCCCAAAACTGTAAACTCTGACTGGAGGTGAAAATAGCTATAATCAGCTATCCAGACCCCAAACACAAATTACTAAATAAACGATCAGAACTTATCTCAAGATGCAGACATGTAAACATATTTTTACGACGTTACTTAAAAATCAAAAACTAAAAACAAATACCTCTAAAAATACTTTAATGAAAAATGCAAATATATGTAACTATATACAACGCTGATAATGTAACATTCTTTAGACAAAAGCCAATACTTTAAAGTAAACAAATAAGATAAGCAAATAACAAATCATGCGCCATTGACCAGCATATATAAATAGTCGATCCAAAGCACAACACACATGGTCTGAAGATTGCGTTCACGCATGAAACAGAAGGCCTCTGCTCGGTGTTGACCTCAGTGTCCAATTTTATATTTATATACGATATGTCCCTGTTATTGAACACTTTATGATATACATAAATATAGTATAATTTAAAAATATATATATATATATATATATATATATATATATATACAAATATATGTACTAATGTGAATTACTAAATAGTTTAAATAGTTTCTACATTTGTTTTCAGATTCAAGTTCTTCAAGTCCTGTCCAAACATTTTGTGGAAACGAAAGACCAACGATTCGATCCCAAAAAAACACATTGCATATTTCAGCCTTGTCAAATTCTTCCGAATTCTCTTTTATTGCTAAATTCCAAATGATCTCAGGTAAATATTAATTTTATTTGCCACTGGGGGGGGGGTTAGGTGTATCACACATAGGTAAATCAAGACGTCTATAACCTAATAATAAAAAGCATTTACTTTACATCCAATAACTTTAGGTATAAAAGTAAAACAGATATACAACGATTTGAAATTCTCATTGTATAAGTATTGTTACAACTACGTGGTCTTAAGATTGAGTTATCATCTATCCTCTTCAACATCGACATACAGTAAGCTAAGTTTTTTTTTATCAACCTGTCATTATAAAGAGACAGAAAATGAGGGTTTCATTTTCTCTTGTTATTCGCATTGTTACTTTTTTTTTTTTTTTCCAGACCCAGAGTTGAATTACGAGGCTTTGAAAAATGCCACAAGCCAGAAAAAGTTTTTTTCATCTCCTGATTTCTTCAATCAAAGCGAAACGTAAGTTAAAAACTCCCCCTATATACATAAACAAAGAAAAAAGAATTTTCTAAAAATGTCTTAGATAAATAAACAAGGTTGAAAGTATGAATCACCCAGTGAAGATCGAACTTATGAACTCAGTCATGGAAATTGTCCTAACCAGACAAGCATTGCTAACCACCGCGTTGAGAGTTTAGGCACGTCAAATAAATATATATATATATATAGTGAGTTCGATTTATATATAAATGGACAAAGGTTGGACAATTTTTGTTTATTAAAAGACATTTTCATGTTTAACGTATATATTTTTATAGATCAAAGTATTTAATTTAAATGCTCTGTTTATAAAAACAAAGATAGAAGTCGATATAAATAACAGATGTTCTTTCCATATCATGTAAAGAAACATGCATAGGCGCTGTGGGACCAGGTTACGTTTGTCATTCGTTACAGAGACCTGGGTTAGCGTTTAATTTTACCATGGTCTTTTCCATTAAACAGCTGAGGATATTTGATGTTATAAGCCTGGGTAGATGATCCTAGTGTTACGGCACCGTTGGAAACTGCCTGAAAACAATATCACGTCTTGACCCTTAACATTATGAATCAAACTGCGTAGATGAAATTCATCGAGGGTTACGCTAGTTCCAAGTCATCGTTACCAAGATTGTTTAAACGCTCTGGCCCTTGTTTTGCTCAGGAATTGATCAAAATTTGTAAAAATTTTACCTTTTATATAGAATATATATATATATATATTATTTTTATTTATTTATCAAAGTAAAAGCAAAGAAAGTAGTTTTAAGCATCTATTTGTTTGCTTTTCTATATTTTGAAATATTTTTCCTGTTTATAATATATGAAAATTTCTGTTTATTATAAACAAATTTTTAAATATTTAATTATTCAAATTTCTGATATATATATATATTTTATATATATCATTATAAATAAACAATGTTTATATTTCCAAATGTTCTCATAGATTTTTTAATAATTATAATGCTTTTTTCTCTAAAGCATAATTATAATATATTATATATATATATTATATATTTATAATTTTTTTTTTTTAAATGGATACAACGAAAATTTTTTTTTTTTTACACTTTTTTAAGAGGAACAAAAACAATTTGAGGAGATATATATTATATATATATATATATACTTTTAGTGGACAAGAATTTCGGACTTTTCGCCCCTTCATCTTTGATATAGGCCATATTTCAGGTTACAAGTTTCGGCATTGCATGTTGTTTGCTTCCATCCACCTGTCGAAGAATTTGGAAGCTCGTCCGTACACCCCATGTCTTCAGTCCGTGGTCAAATAAATTTGGTCGACCGTTCTTTTTTTGAGGATAATATCTAGAATAAATCGTCCAGCTAAATGCCAACAGAGACCATAAAATCTGAGTCTTTGTTGGTGAATTATAGACAGATGCTATCTTTCCATGAAACGTTTCTTTAAATATGGTGATCTTTTTGAGGAATTTTAACCCTCCGAATAATGTAAATAGTGCAATAATATCTAAATCTCAGAAATTTAAACAAATCAAAACTTTGTTTTTTTTTTACTGTTTGATCATAAAAACTTTTTAATATTTGAATTAAATTTAAAGCATATTTTTTCCAAGGAATCAAACATTTTTAATATTTGAATTAAACGTTTTTTGTTTTGTTTTTACCTTGAATCAAACATTTTTTAATATTTGATCATTGTTTTGTTTTTTGTTTTTTTTTTACCTTTGAATCAAACATCTTTTAATATTTGAATTAAACGATTTTTGTTTTGATTTTTACCAAGGAATCAAACATTTTTTAATATTTGAATTAAACGTTTTTTGTTTTGTTTTTTACCTTTGAATCAAACATTTTTTAATATTTGAATTAAACGTTTTTTGTTTTGTTTTTTACCTTTGAATCAAACATTTTTTAATATTTGAATTAAACGTTTTTTGTTTTGTTTTTTAACTTTGAATCAAACATTTTTTAATATTTGAATTAAACCATTTTTGTTTTGTTTTTTTACCAAGGAATCAAACATTTTTTAATATTTGAAATTAAACGTTTTTGTTTTGTTTTTTACCAAGGAATCTAAACATTTTTTAATAATTTGAATTAAAGGAGTTTTTTGTTTTGTTTTTTACATCCAAAGATCAAACATTCCAAATATTTGAATTAAATGTGCATAAAATTTTTGTTTTGTTTTTTACCAAGGAATCAAAAATTTTTTAATATTTGAATTAAACGTTTTTTGTTTTGTTTTTTTCCATATCAGGAATCAAACATTTTTAATATTTGAATTAAACGTTTTTTTTTTTTTTGACATTTTTATGTTTGAATCATGATTTTTTAATATTTGAATTAAACGTTTTTTGTTTTGTTTTTCAACCAAGATGAATCAAACATTTTTAATATTTGAATTAAAGATTTTTTGTTTTGTTTTTTAACTAAGGAATCAAACATTTTTTAATATTCAAAATTAAACGTTTTTTGTTTTTAGTTTTTTACCAAGGAATCAAACATTTTTAATATTTGAATTTGCTTTTTTTTTTGTTTTTTTTTTTACATCCAAAGATCAAACATTTTTAATATTTGAATTAAACATTTTTGTTTTGTTTTTTAAATAAAATCAAACATTTTTAATATTTGAATTAAACGTTTTTGTTTTGTTTTTTAATAGGAATCAAACATTTTAATTTTTGAATTAAAACCAATTTTTTTTTTTTTTTTTTTTACCAAAGGAATCAAACATTTTTTAATATTTGAATTAAACGTTTTTTTGTTTTGTTTTTTACCAGAAGGAATCAAACATTTTTAATATTTGAATTAAACGTTTTTGTTTTGTTTTTTACCAAGGAATCAAACATTTTTTAATATTTGAAAATTAAATGTTTTAAATTTTGTTTTTTTACCGAAGGAATCAAACATTTTTTAATATTTGAATTAAACATTTTTTGTTTTGTTTTTTACCAAGGAATCAAACATTTTTTAATATTTGAATTAAACGTTTTTTGTTTTGTTTTTTTACCAAGGAATCAAACATTTTTTAATATTTGAATTAAACGTTTTTTGTTTTGTTTTTTTACCAAGGAATCAAACATTTTTTAATATTTGAATTAAACGTTTTTTGTTTTGTTTTTTTACCAAGGAATCAAACATTTTCACTCTTGAATCAGACTTATTTCTACTCTTTAACCAGACCTATTCTTACTCGTGAATCAAACCTTCATACTGATTCATATTGTTTCTTATTATTTGAACATTTTTTTTTTCACGTGAATTCTCTACCTTTCTTTCTGTTTAGTTCTATGTTTGTCCACTGGGTTATCAAGGCAGCAGAAAAAGAAAAAGTCATCTTTGAATTGGCTTATTCTGGAATTCCACGGACTTATAATTGTGATATGGCATCAGTTTCGGTCTACAATAGCGCAACAGGTAAAATCTGAGTTAAAATATTTCATGATTTAATCGTACAAGACGAGTTCTTCATTCTTCAGCCATTTTTAATGTTGTTTCAAACTAATCGCGTATTATTATTATTATTACTCCATGAATTATTCGGATTAGTATCATTATCTTTAAAGTTTTCAGCTCCACGTTTCGGCCGTTACAATCTTGGCGCTTCTTCAGGTGTATATCACAGTTGATAAGAAATTTTAGATGTGAGCGAAATAAAAATTAAGTATTCCATTGTGGCATCAACTTGAGAATGTCCAGTCGAAATGTTGAGATAAATATAAAGTTATGCCTAATAAGAATTCCTAGAAAAGATAATAGTGTTTATTCCTAGAATTTATTCCTAGAAGAGATGATAGTATTTATTCTTAGAATTTATTCCCAGAAGAGATGATAGTATTTATTCCTAGAATTTATTCCTAGAAGAGATGATAGTATTTATTCCTAGAATTTATTCCCAGAAGAAATGATAGTATTTATTCCTAGAATTTATTCCTAGAAGAGATGATAGTATTTATTCCTAGAATTTATTCCTAGAAGAAATAATAGTATTTATTCTCATCTTCATGGCGACAATGTTTAATATCGAGCCCCTATGTATTGGTGGAGACAATGTTTTATGAATTGATTTTTCTCAATACTGAATCTTTATTCCGTATAACAGAAACCTGACAGTCATTGATTTTTTATAAATAATTCCATTTCAGTTCCACGGTTTTAAGACGTTACATATTTTTTCTCATGCAGAATCATCAGTGGACACGTTGCTGGGTAGATTTTGCGGTCCAAACGGTGTCACTCTGATATCTACCGGAAATTATTTACTTGTAAAATACAATACAAAAGCAATGTCCGAAAGCAGGGGCTTTATGGCTGCTTATTATACAAAAAAGAACGGTAAGCAAAAAAAAAAAAAAATATTCTAGAAAAAGAATAAAATAGTATTTCTAACGAAACAAAGATACTTCTACAAGGTAACCAAAATGTCCTTGCCTTTTTTTTTATTTATTAAAAAAGGTATATTGCAAATTTGACACACTGTTAGTCCTCAAAATAAAATTTTCTATCCATAATGTTGAATGTGTTAAAATTATTCAACATTTTAACAACAAAAATTTTAATTAGATCATAAAACTTGTCTTAAAACATTGTTGATTTATTTAAGATGTAATGATCTATTATAACATGTCTCTAATTTGTATTAAAATACATTGTATTTATTTTCATTTTTTCTAGTTGAATTGTTCACCTATATTGCATATGATCCATTATTATACATAATTATGTTATAATAAAATTTGTATTTTATATGAATACTAATTGATATGTAGTGAAGTGTAAGGCCCCGTATCATAGATTGAAGACATGAGACCCTTACATCGACACTGTTGTTATTATTATTTGTTGAGATATTTAAAATTAAATAAAAAATAACTGGTTTAAGGATCTCCTGCCACTCCGAATCTATCATATAGGGCACCCACACATCTCAATTTTCAGAAGGTAATATTAATATAAAATACAAATTTTATTGCAACTTAATTATGTACAATAATAAATCATATGCAATATAGGTGAACAATTTAAATGGAAAAATTGAAAATAAATTCAATGTATCTAAAAAATTACCGCAAAACATTGTTGATTTATTTAAGATGGAATGATCTATTATGACATGTCTCTAATTTGTATTTAGATACATTGTATTTATTTTCAATTTTTCTAGTTGAATTGTTCACCTATATTGCATACAGTCCATTATTGTACATAATTATGTTATAATAAGATTTGTATTTTTTTATGAATACTACCTTATGAACATTGAAGTGTAGTAGAGTCTAAGGCCTCGTATTATACATTGAGGAGGGAACCTTATATCGACACTGTTGTTATTATTATTTGTTGAGATATTTAAAATCAAATAAAAATAACTATTTTTTTTTATTTGTTTTTAACAGAACCTCCAAAAGTTGACAACACCTCGCAGAAATTCTCCGCCATTTGCATTGTTCTTATCGTTATCGGCGTTGTAGTCGTAATGAGTTGGTTGCTTTGGCGATGGCGACGAAATATGCAGTATAGATTCGTCCGGATTCGTCACTGGCCAGACGAGGACAACGACTAACAATGACAATGAAAAGAAGTCTCAGCAGGAGACGAAACCAGCATTTATTTTTTTTTTTACTTTGAACGATCTGCCATTATCACGATAGCAGTAATGGGATATATAGGATGGCGGGAAAGAAATTCTTTTTATCAATATGAAGTCAGGCTAACAGACAAACGTAAACTGATAAGACCTAAAACTCGACTACGTTTAGAGTACGCTTTGTAAATTCGGTAATAAGACAGTAGCCTACACTTTTTTTGATTTAGACATTCCATATATTTCAAAAGGAAAAAAAAATGTCTACGTTTGGGCGAATGTTATAACGCTAAATCCTTACGTTTCTTTACAGAAACAAAAAAGGGACAACAATTGAGTAATTGCTGAAGTGAAAAAATATGAAAAATGGTTATTACAATTTTTTTCTATTTTAATCTTTCTTTTGATGTCATAACATTAAGGTCGATTTTCAATCAGAAAAAATGTTGCGTTTTTTACGTCAACAAATAATTTTGACGACTTTTTATTACCGTAACGAGTATGTACACAACTCAATTTTTTCTCTCATTTTTTTTTATAATACACAAGATTTTTTTATTATTTTAATGTACCTAAAATACGATAAGATCTAAATTATTCTATCTTTGTTCGTATACACCTGTCACGTTTCATATCTGATAACAATCGGATTTCCTTTAGTAAAGGATCATAAGAGTTTGTACAAAATCTGTTTCCTCTTAAGATAAAAAATGTATCCATTATAAGAGACAAGTAGTTCTCAACCATTTTACCCAATGCACTCATAAGTCAGAATGTCATTCCCACCTTTCCAAGATTTGTTCGACTCAAAAGGTGCATTCCAAATAATATACATATATTATTGAAAATCTTCATTCTTTTCCGTGTTAGTACGCATACATTTACATGGATTATTTTTTATAGAGGAGTTTTACAAATTCAATAGCAACAGAAAATAGTGATTGTTTTTTTTAAACTTGAATACATATACAGTAATTTGTTTTAAATTATAGCTAATTATTAAATAAATAAACCGAAGCAGACTTCAATAAACAAAATGCTCAATAGAATACCAGGGTATTGGAATTCAATCAACAAAGTTCAATAAAAAAAGTCAGGGTATTTAAATCAATTTTATTCGGATGAAGAATACAGTCAATGGGAAACTTGTGAAAAAGTAAAAGATTTTCCTCCTCCCCGAAAACCTAAAATTTACCTAGGGGACCCACCGGTTGAGAACTCCTGTAATAGATAAATGTACTTACTTTCGATCAAATTTCATAGAAATTAATGTTGATGCAGTAGGATAAAAGTGTCTGCAGTTAAGGCAGGCAGTAAAATGCAAAGATACGAGAATTGAACAGAAACGAGAATTGACGAGATACCAACCGTCAAAAGCAAATAAACACATTGACTCATATATACTTATATATACTTATATATGATGAAAAGACAACTGAAAAAAATCTAGCATTAAAATAAAAAGCTGAACTTGAATTATTGATGAAAAACATTGCAGAAAATCAAAAACGAATATTATAAATTCGCTAGGTGCTCAAAATATATGAAGTGAGCTGAAACTAAAAGTAAATCTTTAAAAACATGTGAAAACGGGAAAACCCTATATACGCAGTCAATGTAGGATATAAAGACAGAATGTGACAAAACAAATGATGGTTACTTGAAGAAATACCGGACATGACTTGAGATATGATTGGATGCCAAGTGTAAAGGAAGAAAAAAAAAAGGAACTTTTGAACCGTTTATGCATAAAATATATGAGAAACAGGAAGAAGTGCTGTATATGAGGATATAACGGACTTCCCTTTTGTTTCCAAGACGGATCAAATAATATATTTCTAGCAGTATATGCGAGGTTGAAATATGTTATACGCTAAATCTTTAACTAGACGCCGTATATTGCCAGCCTGGGTGCCTAGCCTAACTTCATCATGTTGTAATATAAAATCGAAATTTAAGAACCCTTACATTGGAAATTATGTCATCATTTAGGTTTATGTTTAAATAGACACCGTAGAAACATCAGTACTTGTACCTAGTGTAATAAATAGGTTTGCCTATCGTCCTGTTCAAACTCCTCCCCGTTCTTTTGAACAGGAGTAGGGGCTTAGCTTTTGTTTCCTGTTTAGGATTGGGTTTCCGGTTCCTTCTAAAGTCTATTTCAACTTTATACTTCTAACGTCTCCGCCTAAAACTTTGAAATTGTATTTACTACTTACTTTTTTTCCTCAATAGGAGTAGGTAGGTTTACCTATCGTCTGGTTCACACTTCTCTCCTGTCTTTTGAACAGAAGTAAAGGTATATCCTTAGAATTGGGTTTTTGGTTCCTTCTAAAGCCTTTTCCTTTTCTTTCACTTCCGGTGTCCCCTTGCTTCTTGAAGGCATTATCTGCTTGCTTGGGTTCATGCCTCTTACTCTGTAACCCTCTACCTCGAGTGGCTTTTAGGCCTTGTACAGGGTGAAAATCACTGTAATAAAAACTCCATAATACTTTAATATTAAATCTAAATATGGAAGTCTTACGTTAGAAGTTGAAGTTTCTGTTAGTCAAGATGTTGTACAATTATGACTACTTTTAGGTTCGCCTATCATCCGGATCACAATCCTCCCCAGTTTCTTGAACTGAAGTAGAGTTTAATCCCTGTTTCCTGTTTAGGATTGGGTTTCAGGTTCTTTCTAAAGTCTTCTCATTCGCTTTCGCTCCTAGAAGCTCCTGGCATCTTAGTGGCTTTATCGCCTTACTTGGGATTAATTGATTTTTAAAAAATATTACATGTAATTAGGAGGTGAATCTGAAGAATGTTGAACAATTTCCATACCTTGGTAGTGTATTAACGTCAAATGCATCCGCTGAAAAAGACGTCGATAACGGAATCAAGGCCGCCTAAGCAGCTATTCAAAAGACTCTTCAGCAATCCTAGGCTAATACAAACCACCAGGCTCATGGTCTGCCGAGCTGTTGTAATCTCGACTCTCCTGTTTACCTGTGAGACAGGGTAACTCTATCGAAGTGTCATCCGAAAAATTGAAAGTTTCCACCAAATGTAACTTTGTCAAATCCTGCGGAACACGTAACAGGACCGGATCACAAACAACGGAGTTCTCCCTCCCTAGGAGGTGGAGAGCCTAGAAGTCATCATGACTCACCACCGACCTCGATGGGCCGGACACTTTTGCCCGACTGCCAAACATCCGCCGATCCAAACAAATCCTCGTCTCAGAGCTTGCATCAACTTCACTTTGTTGATCAGCTCAAAAACACGTTGCTCAGAACAGAAATCGATCCAGTTAATTGGGAGACAGAAGCCGTAGAAAGAACCAATTGGAGAGGAGTAGTCGACGAAAAAACAACATCCTTCGAAAACACTAGAAGACAAATAGAAGAGACGAAGAGAGCAAAAAGAAAAGCCAGAGATCCCCGTCCTCTGAACCCTCCTACTCCTCCATACGGTGTCTGCGGACGTCTCTTCAAATCCAACATAGGACTCATTTTACACAGAAGGAAATGTCGATGAGTACCCGAATGCACAAAACGAGTTCCGCCAACGAGGATGACATGTGAAATTGCAAATCCATAATTATGTAATATTAAATGTACATAAGGAAATCTTATATTCTTATATAAGACTTGCTTGCTGGGGTATCTGTTAGGCTAACGTTTACCCTAAATCCGGCAAACGTGCCTCGCTTAACTACATAATACTGTAATATTAAATGTAATTTTTCAGTGCATTATTTATGACAGAAAATATGAATAAATATTTTATAAGACTGCATTATTGAATAAATTAACAGTAACAATATATTTCTTCTAAAATATTGTATATATTTGATAGGGTATTATTAATAACTGTGTATATGAACGTGTGTGTGGATGTGAAGAGATGACTGTATATATGTGTGTGCACAGTCCTGCGAAAGATGTTGAGCGACTTACATTTGAGAAGGTGATTTTTTTTTCTGAATTTCTGGTATGAGGAATTATTACTGTAAATTGTGGCGTACAGGTCGAGTTTTCAAGCCTAAAAAATCTTTCCTAAATTGGGGTCGATTTATATGGCGGGTATAAAATGCAAAACCTTTACCAACGAGTTGTAAACAAGCCGGACAGCACTCCTTACAATTACAGTATATAAATAATACGAAGCAGACAATATATGCAAGACAAAAGTAGACAACGCAACAATAATGAGGTAAACATGTTCACAAACTAAGAATGGAGTTAACACACAAAAGGGATACAGACAAGTGACTGTTACGTTCTGAATTCAAGACGAGAAAGGACAAGAATATGGCGGATAAGACTGAGATGTAGTCTATCTTATTGGCTAGGAAGAAATCCCAGCATGCATCAACAGCGATCGATTTGTCTATAAATTATAGGGGAGAGGGATTTTTTTTTTTCAATCATTCCGGTTCGGAATGGAACAAACATTGATTTATTTTTTTTTTTACAGTTTCTCAAGCTTTTGTGGGTTATTTAAAGCTGAAAACCATTTTTTGGATTATGAGAATACTTCCCATTTTTTGCAAGGGAATATTGCTTTAACAATTTTATATTAACAATGATTTTTTCCACATACAAGATCTATTATTTAACCCATAGATGGGATATGTTCATACCTTTATCAAGTGTGTGTGCATCAGTGAATGTATTTATAAGATATTGTACGAATTAGATATCTAGAGCTAAAAGAATAACTATGGATTTGAAATGATACATGGGTATATATTTATTATTTCTGTGTATCAGATGAATTAAAACGAATATATTTTACAGTATATATTTTAAATAACATTTGATAATGTTCGGCTTTTGTGTTAATATTCCGATCTTTATTTTCATTCTTCCAAAGTTCATAAATAACTCTTGTTGCCTATTGATAGAAAATACAAATAAATTAGAAAGAGACAGAAGTTAGTGTGATTTACCGGTAGAGAGAGAGAGAGAGAGAGAGAGAGAGAGAGAGAGAGAGAACATGCAGCGTAGATAGGGTGAAAGTATTAACCGTGTGTTAATAGCTGCTGATGACGTAATAGGATTAAACCGGGAAGGAAGAGGCTATAAAAGTGCAGCATATGAATTATCAGATTCACAATGATTCATGATTTTAGACTGAATTTCTATGATTAAGAATTGTCATTATTATGTACTAATTCAAATTATAGCTTTCATCGTTGTTGTTAATAGTCACATTATTTCAGTTATTTTGGAAATGAAGAATTATAATTATTATGCACTAATCTAAACTGTAGCTTTCACCTTAGCTGAAATAGTGTAACTATTAACAACATTTTTGAAGATGAAGAATTATAATTATTATGCACTAAATCGAACTGTTTCTCTCATATTTAATGTTATATCTACAATATTTTAGCTATTTCATCTTTAATGATGAATTAAAACCAAAATATGTTTATAAAATGAAGAATTAAAATTATAATAAACGAATTATTGCCCTCGTCTTTGTTGTTATAGTCACAATATTGCGGCTATTTCTAAAATTAAGAAATATCATTATTATACACTGATCTATTCGAAATATTTTTAATCTTGTTTGTTGTAGTCATAACATTTCAGCCGTTATAATCTCCGGCCTTCAAGTAACTATCATATTCAGTAATATCCTCGGAATTTCGATCCGAGCACTCTAGTCAGTGCTTGATTTATGAGCAAAAAGAAACTTAGGGTCTCACAATCTGAATGCGCCGAAAAAAATTGCACTTATTTATTTATTTTATTTTATTTATTTTATTTTGGTGGAATTGGGGAATTGTGGTATGGAAATGGCCTTTATATAACTTACCGCCTTGCCAAATATAAATCCGATACAGCATTCATTCAATTTACAGGCGTAGCTTGTTTTCATAACAGGGGAGATAATTCGTATGATTATTTCATAACAAGGGAAGTAACTCTTACAATTTTTTTTTTTTCTTAATAAATTTATCTTTTTAATACTGCTTCTGTTCGTTCCCCTGGACCAAAGTACATGGATTCCATGCCTACCCCAGAGATTGAAATCACATCCATCAAGGAAACTGAATACACGTGACCAGCGTTTATATCCACTCGATCATAGAATTAACAAATTATGACAGACTGCGTCATTTTGATGTGTTTTTTGTCACATGCAACAATAAAAAACCATTTGGGAAATGCATCATTCTATGTACAAACCCTATTCATTAAGTGGGGCGATTATGGTTCTCTGTAGCTTCTTGTTTTTTTGTACCCTTGATGAAAAAAATGGATGCTTTACGATAATCATAAATGTATATTTTCAATAAAAGATTTTTTTTAAGAGTTTTATTTCATTTTACTTTATTTTTTGTCGTCTTGGCTCCTTTCCGGCTTACCTGTATTGTAGTCGACGATGAAAAGTGACAATGATTCTTTGTCTTTTTTTATCCTAAAAGTATGAAGACAACGATGAATAAAAGAAGAAATAAACCAATTTGGAAAGAAATTCCTCGGAGCTCCTCAACCTTTCGTCCTCCAACATTTCGTACCATTTTCTGTTGTGTAGAATCTTTCCTCATGAAACTCTCTCCAGATATTTTAGCGCTCTGTGTATCTAAATTAAATTCTTTAATCTCTACCTGTGAATTCTCTGTTTCATGCTCTCTTCTTGTCAAAAGCATTTCATTATGCATTTACATGGCCTCCATATTTATGTTCGGAAAAATCTCTCGATGGCGAGGCTATTGTCGGACTGTTTTTATATGTGCTTTCGACTTTCACTATTAAACTATATTATCTCTTGATAAAAGAAAATATAGTTTCCTGGACTGTGGGTTGTCAGATAAAATACCCGATAGTATAGAAATGTCTCTCTTGACGTACAATTGCAAATATCTTTGTGTATGGCGATTTCAGTGCTCATAGGGCCAAGTAGGTTCATGGGATGCGTGTAACAAACTTCACGAGATTTGGCGCTCAAACCTACCATCCTCCTTAAAAGTCCAAACCTTCTGAATATTGATTGAACGAGTCCTACTGTATGAATCAGAAACTTGGACATTATCTGTTCGACTTAAAAGACGACTGGATGGACGATATAGAAATCTACTTCGAAAAATCCAGAACATCAGTTGGAGATCCCAGGCAACGTTTAACACAATTTACCGAGAATTGAGACCAATCTCTCTTTAGCTCAAACAAAAACGATGATATAGTTTGCCACTCACTGCTAGCGGTCGGACAGTGAAATCGTCTTATCCTTACTCCTATAGCATCCTTCTGGATGTATCTTCTCATGAAAATTGACTTTCTCAGATACCATAGCTTAGAGTTGGACATTGGGGATCTGGAGACAATGATACATAACCGAACTGAAAAGGGTTATCAATGGAGTTCCGACCAATTATAGAGACGTCGAAGGATGATAATGATGGAGAGGTTCATCCTTCTAATACAACTGATTTTTGCCGGTAGCCAGATTTTTTTTTCATGTGCATAATCTCTTAACCAAATAGTAGAATTCCTTACGCGTTTTTGTACGTAGGAATTCTGACGGACACGTTTCTTTAATTGATCTCTTTCTTACCTCCTCTTCGCATTCTTGTCTGATCATGCTGTAGTGTCTGTTGATATTTCTTTTCACTCGTCTTACTGGGCAAGAATCCCCTATTCACGGGATATCATCTTCTTATCAACACACCTATTGGAAATCATTTGGTTATTTTCTTTAATCTTCCTACTGAAAATTGTGATACCTAGGTCTCTTCTTTTGCTGAAAACCTGCACGAATGCGTTCATACCATCTCGAAAATACCAACTGAAAACGCAATCTTCTCTTTGCTTCACCGCAGCCTGTTCAACCGCTATAATCCACAAAAAAAAAACACTTCTTCCAGCTATATCAACTTGATAGTTCGGATTATAACAGGCACCTCTCCGTACCCACTCATAATAATCATAATCGCTGATAGCCTAAGAAACCATTGTGACATGCCCATCTTTATTAATATTGAATTAAATTTTTCTTTCATTTCTTTCATTCTTTCTTTCTATTTCTTAAAAATACAGCCTTGACCAACTTTGAATTAATTCAACGGTTGAAGTGTTATTTTCATATCTAGCGTTCAACGATTCTTAATTTCATATGTAGCATCCAGCGATTAGGTGCGTCCCTACACTAACTGGTCAGAAAGACCATAGCCTGCTGCATGGAGAAGACGTGAAAACGTTTAATTCTTTATCCGTGGTCTGGCTCTCACAATAAGTTTATCTCTCAATCTTCCAGAGATTTAAAGTTCAAACCTTCAGGAACTCCAGGTCCAGGATAGCCTATATTTTCCGTGATTAAAAGTAAAGCGTTTTCAGGATGATAACTAAACCAATGAACTATGTTGAATGACCAAAATATTACTACATATGAATTGAATCATCTCAACCGAGACAAGATTTTTCTACTCCGAACTAAGAAACAAAAAAAAAAGAAATAATGACTAACAAAATCGTTGATAATATGATTCGATAGATAAGTAACCATTGAAAATTTCACTCATGACATTTGTTTTTTATATTTTCTTTCCCTTCTATTCTTTGTTTATCGTTTCCTTCTTTTTTCCATTCTGTATCTTTATTACATTAAATTAAATATAACTTTAAATCTTGTGATTGTTTTCTATACAGTGTTTGTTTTCTACTTTTCGCCTGTGCAACTCCCTTCCTATTTCCTGCTTTCTTGTTGTTATGGGGTCCACCCCTTTTTCATATAAGTGGACTCTACCAGTGTTACTTGGAGTGCTGCCGTTAAATACCCAGAGTTAGACAGTCAGTGAGAGAGGATATACGGAGAGAGAGAGAATATACGAACGGAGATAGTGTGAGGTAGCCTCTTGTAGAAGTCAGTTACAGAGCACGTAGACTCTAAGGAAGTCCTACTTCGAGACTGTATATATCTATCTGTATTTGCTACTAACCGCGTTCCTGGATTTACTAACAGTATTACTCTTTGTATGATTGTGTAATACATTTTATTTCTTATATTTAATTATTTCGTTTGTCATTCCTTGGAGACCGAATTCATCTCGGAATCCACAACACAATTAGGATCTTTAAAAATTTAAATTCAATATCAATTGCCATATTTTCTTTCTAAATACGGTTCTTTTACTCTGCTTTATCGTTATTAACGTTTCGCATTTTCTTTCCCGTTCGCTAAACCCTTGCGTCTTAGTGGCATTATCGCCTTGCTTGAGATGAAATGATTAAAAAAGAATCCGACATTTCATGTGATGCAACTCAATATTTATTAGTCAATTTCCTAAAAACCGATGAAAATTGCCATTTGGGTTTACGGCAACATCCCGTTCAAACATCAGTTCCTGTACGATCGATGAAGTTAAGCAACTTTAAGTCTGGTCAGTACTTAGATGAGTGACCGCTTTGGAATAGTAGGTGCTGTAAGCTTGGACGTAAGGGTCGTGTAATGGATAATGGCTCGGAATTGTTAATCGAAGATACGAATTCCAATTCAAACCCAGAGCCACTCAGTATCATCTAGTAACTGATATTTCTAGCGATGCAATAAGAGCAGCACTACATCAGATTGTAGATGACACCCCGATCCCCATAGACTTCCACTAAAAAACAAAAAACAAAAAAAAACTAAAAGTTATACAAAAGAAATACTCAATATTTGATCGTGAGTTATTAGCAGCTTACCAAACTGTACTACACTTCCGACCACAAATAGAAGGTAGATAGATTACATTATTTACTGATCACACAACCTATCATTAGCATGAAAAAACTACAACCCTCGAATCAGACAGAGAGGAAGTACAGGTTTCATTCATTGCTGAATATATCACAGACGTGATATACATCAAGAAGACGATAACAGAGTTTCTGAATGTCTTTCACGACTAGTTTTATCAGTCACAACTGGACTATGCAACCTACCTGCTATAATAGCACAACAAGAGAAAGATGAAGATATTGTTAAATACAAGGATAACCACAATTCATATAACTATTAAGATTCAACCCTCTTCTGTGACACAACAACATCCACATCAAGACCGTTAATTCTAGAATCTCTTCGCAAATACATGTTCGATACATTTTACAACATCTCATACTTCGGTCCTAATCCAACAGCAATGCAGAAAAAAGTCAACACGGACAAAAATATACGTCAAATAGTCAAAAGCTGTCTAGTCTGTCAACAAAACAAAATTTCGAAACATACTAAGAATCAAACTACACCCTTTTCACTACCATTTGGATGATTCGAAACAGTTCATATCGACATCATCGGACCGTTGCCCCCAGCAACCGTAAATGATGGCATATACCCGTCACCAGCAAAATATATTCTTACCTGCATCCATTGTACAACCAGATGGATAGAAGCTACCCATCTTTAAGATACCTCAGTAAGCACAGTAGCTATAGCATTCCTCAGCACTTGGATAGCTCGCTCTCGAATACCGCTTCATGACATCACAGACAGCGGTAACCAGTACGAAAGCGAATTATTCAAAGATATATACATCATTATAATAGTCCACAGACTCCGTACAACCTCATACCATCCCCAAACAAATAGAATAATAGAGCGTCAGCATAGAATACCAAAAAGAGCTATAATGTCAAGATAACAAAACTGGATAAACACGCTACAAATAGTTCTTTTTGAAATGAGAAATGTACCTAAAGAAGAAAACATTTCACTTGTCATTGTTGTCACTGGAACCCAATTATTACATCTAAAACTACTAATAAAACATAACAGTTTCACTGTTACCAAAGAAAACATTTAGCAATTTTCTGAAGAGATGACTAACCAGAACCTATTACTCCTTTCTGAAGGACGGTTACATTCAGCTAAACAATCCTTCAAAACACAAAACTCGTATACTTCAAGCCATGTCTGATTAAGAACAGAGTCAGATAACGTCTTAAAGCTCCTTACTCTAGGCGTTATAAAGTAATTACCAGACATGAAAAATACTTTATAATAGAAAATTCCCCAAGAAAACACCCACTGTCTCTACTGAAAGAGTAAAACCTGTGACACTACTATAAAACCACAGCAAGAAACATCTTATACAATAACACACTGAACAACCTAAACAACACACTGAACACTCAAAACAACCATCTCAACAAAAACAACCATTATCAAAACCACAACTACACACAACGGGAGGAGAGTTCATTTCTCCAAATATTATTTCTACTTTCTATAGGCATCCATCACTACCGATTAGCACCGCTAATTTGGTGGGGATGTCATGTAAGGATATTATCATTATTATCAAAAATAATAATATAAAATAATAATAATAATGAATATCATAAATAAAATAAAACAAATAACATTAGACCTTTGTCTAAAATAAATTAAATAAAACCAAAATAATAAAAGTTCTCCCGGAATACAACAGAAACTTTTCCTGCCTGAAAACGGACTTCACACCAAAAATGCTGAAATCACTCTCATTCACTATGGACCATTGGAAGATCAAGACGTCCATCTCCTCTTCTCTGAATATTACTTGTTATAAGACGAAGTGACTTCTTCCTTTTATCACATTCAACCGTAAAACACATATAACTAAAATACTCACTCACCAATACACAAAAATAAATTTGTATGATTTTAATTTACAATTTAACATGCTTTTAGTGTTATTTCTGTGTATGTTTTTGCCCCGGGAAGCACAAGGCTATTCCTGTTGGTACGATTTGAGCGACCCCACAATAGATAGATAGATATGAAGAAAATTATCGATAAATAGATAGTTACGGTTTCGCCTGAAAAAGTCTAATTAAAATATTGGCTGAAATGCTTTCACAAGCAACAATTATGGAACTGTAATGTGAAAAAAACACAAAATAATGCATCTCAGTGCCGAAGATGCGAATTACAAATTCGAGATATCAAAATCAAACAAATTGAAACATTTAACAGAGGACTGAAAATACGACACCGAACTCCGAAATCGCATTCGATAGCGGAAGAAGCCTTCCAAAAGCTAAGCAATATATTAAGAAACAAGAAAATTTCATTATAAACAAAGAACAAAACTACTAAAATGTTACATAATATCAGTCGTTTTATATAGTAGTTAATGCTCGACAATTGAGTTACTTCCATTGTCTTGGAAGCTGAGCGCGGTACATCTGAATTAAACATCGGGACGAACTGGTGGACATGTGGAATTCGTGGTTTCAGTCCAAACAAATCCTTGCTGTTCCCAGAAAGTAAATGAATAAAAGTTGTTTGATTATGAGTTAAAATAAACTTGTCTTTTATTTTCATTTGTTTTTGTTCGTCGCAACAGCCTGGGATATAACAGTTTCTTGACAATGGCTAAGTTTATTTTTATATGTTGACTTATGATAGACGGTTAGTTTTAAACCTCTATCAGTTCGAATGAAAAGAATAAAAAGAAATTGTAAGAAGGCAGAATGTATGTTTTTCAGCCAAAAGAGCTAAACATGAGAGTTACAAGTTGGAAATGCCAAAATCAAGCAAGTACAAAAATTTAAATATCTAGGGATTGTCTTAACTCAAGACTGAAAATGAGACAACCAAATCCAAAATCGCATCAGAATAACGGAAGATGCCTTCCAAAAGCTAAGCAATGCATTAAGAAACAAGAAAATCTCGTTAGAAACAAAGAAAAAACTACTGATCTATTACATAATATCAGTCCTCTTATATACCAGTTAATGTTTGAAAATTTCAACAGAAATGTTGTTCTGCAGAAGGATGCTGAGAATACCATTGACCATGACTAACAACAAAGTGTTAAGGAAAATAGAAACAAAATAGACACTTCTACTTCGAATCAAATAGAGATATTAGAAATTTCTAGGGTGCATAAATAAGGAAAAAGGGCTTGGAAAATTTGCCACGCACAAGACATATTGAAGAAGCAGAGGAAAGCTGCGCGTAGCGTATCTAACGAGTTTGTGTAAATGCTTAGCAGAACAGTGACAAGGAGATATAGCAAAAAGACTAATTTTACTAAGAAATACAAAGGACAGGAAATTGGGGAGAGTCGTGATCATATATGTCTTGAAGGGACAAAGGCACAGAAGAAGGATATAAAATCAAATTACAAACGTTTTGTAAATCAAGGGAGATAATTGTCTACTGAGTTATTTCCCCTGTTTATAAATTTGTAGTGTTGAAATACTATCATTTTCTTAGCTAATGCATTATCATCAAATCTTTATTGATTTGTATTCGAACGTTGGTCTTCGGGATCGGCAAGCGAACGTTCTAACCACTCGGCCATGTCCCCAACAATTGGTAAAATCATTTTATTAAAGAGAAATAATACAAAATTGTTATAATAGAATATTACATATGTTCTTCAAGCCTAATGAAATATTACGGTAGACCGGATTTGTCTTACAGGCTTTACTGTGCTGAGCCGTTGAAACACATCAACCATTCATTTTATTTACAACTAATGCCACTGAAAAACGATTCCAACTTTACGTAAATCATAATAATAAACTACAGTAGAATTTCCCAAATCCAAACATAGCATAATCTAGACTTTCTTGAATTTAGGCTCATCTTCAAATCCGAAATTTTGTATTGAGGAAATGAAATTATCAAAAATAAATTGCACAATCGTAAAATGAAAGAATGTCGTACTCGCGTCAAAAGCGCCATAGAAACAATTGTCATGAATGCAAATGAAGAACACAGCGAAATTCAGGAAGATCTGACAATGGATGAATGATAAATTTATAATTTTCATCAATTTTCAAACATTTCATAAAGTGTTTTAATTTTTTCACAAATTACAATATTTCTTTAGCACCAATTTTTTCATTGTCAATTATTTTTTGTACATGTATACATTCAGTCGACACTTTAAATAAAAACGAATCAACATTACAAACTACCTTTTGTAACCTAAACTCTAAAACTTAATAAAAAAATGTTAAGCTTTCCACAGCAGCCTTTTCTTCCCCGAATCCGAACAATACCCTCAATACTGAACAGCTCGGATCTTCGGTTTAGAGGAGTTGTGCTGTATTAGAAATACTCTAATATTCCTCAAATAAATTTTCAGAAAAGTATATTTTATTTTCGGAAGTTTTTTCATTACTATTGGTTGTCAATTATTTTTGTAGATTTATGTATTCAATCTAAACTTTAGATAAAATCGAATCAACGTTACAAACTACCTTTTGTATCTTAAACTCTAAAACTTAATTAAAAAAAATGTTAAGCTTTCCAGCATCCTTTGCTTCCTCGAATCCGAACAGTACCCCCAATACCGAACAGCTCGGATGTTCGGTTTAGAGTTGTACTGTACTTGTATATAGTTTTAAGGTGTGCTATATTTATGGGATAAAGTGCTCAATATCAGACATAGAGCGTGTGTAAATATAAAAGTAAACATTATTTTTATTTTTTTATTTGTTCTA